TCTCGGTCATATTACGATTTTGTGAAATTCGATTACAGATATCTTAGCAACACTTCCTTGAATTTTATACGAGTATAATCAATGAAGAAAAAAAGAATTGGTAGTAGTTCACGGAGTGATATACCGTAAAGTTACAGAAGTGTTAGTAAAAATATAGCAACAATCAATACAAGTGTCCTAGCTGTGAAAAGAAGTTTAAATCACGAACCACATCAAAGCGAAAGTAAGACTTGAATTCGAACGATGGATATCATCAAAATTGGCCAACACCAGGTAATAGACTGATTAATCCACTCTCAACAGCAATCAACTGGACACTCGTCAAAGAATACAAAACAATAACTTTTTTGTTAATTTAATTTTTTGTGGATTTCTTGTCTCTCATCGAACACTTGAAAAGGTAACTGGTTTTACTAGCACTTCCCTGCCCCTACGTAACAGACGTTGTTGATATATGATAAAAGACTGTATATCAATATTGTCTCCTTCTAATATGTAAACTGCTTGCTTATTACATTTCTAGGTGATTAAGTAAAAGGATTGTGTAGAAATATGTCCCAAAATAGATAGAATAAAACAATCGCTTTTATGATTAGCAAGAGCAGCTGCATCATTTTATACATTTTAATCCCGCACGGATTAGACTAACAGCTTTTTTAAAGAAAATCTTTCGGAAAATCTTTTACATTATTTCGATTAACTTATTTCGAAGTATAATCTGTATTGCCTAATATTAGTATTTATGCATACCTAATAGTTTAGTATGCAAACAAAGTTCTAAAATGAGAAGAAAACCTGTGAATTGAAGTTTTTGTTCTAAATAACATAATTTTTACAATTTATTTAAACGAATCTTTAATTAAAAAAAAATCTTGAATAAATGATTGTAAATCACTATGAAATGCGCGACGTTCCCATGATCACTAATAATTAAGATATAGAATGGATTTTTTGGTCACTTTTTTAGATGATACGATAAGTTTATAGTAGATAGTTTTTGAATATCATAAGTAGCAAGAAATTGATCGTCTTTTATAAAAAGAAAAAAAAAAATAAAGAATATATAAAAGAAATAATGATTACCTATAAGAGGTTTACCCATCCATGTAAGATATTGTTGATCTGTTGAAATGCCTAATCTCTCTTGTATCTTACGCTTAAGTTCCAAAATCGTGTCAGATGATTTAACCTAAGAATTTTCTTAAACCAATAATTATGAAAATTCATGCAAGAGATATTTTACCGTTACAAGGATTTCTTGTTTAAAAGGTGTCTATAAATAAATATCATATAATTATCAAAAAAAAATGATTATAATGATTGTCTCAAACATTTAATTACTTGAACAAAGATTTGAAAAGCACTTCTAGATTGAAATGCTTCAAGATCATTTTGGCCAATTGAAGCTACTTGTGATAATTCATTATTTCCAGTACGTTGTTGTGTTCTTAAAGAATTTGAATTTCTTTTTTTTTTATTCTAACTTCATTTTTATAAAGTGTGTTGCATTTTATTCAAAGATAACTATGAAATTTACCTGTTGATAGAAGTCGATGAAATGATTAGACTATCATCAATAACTAATGGACGTAAATTAATTTGAATATTTTGAAGAGCATTGATTTCTTGTTCAATTGATCGAATATCATTAGTCAATGAATCAATATTTTCACGTGTAGCTCCTTGCTTTTGAATAAGTCGATCCAAAGTATCTCGTATTGTATGAAGTTTTTTCAATGGTTGATCTTTTTTTTGTTCAAATAATTCATGACGCATATGTTCATAAAATCGATCGACAGTTTCATGAGCTACAATACGCCATTGTTCGAGTACGTGGAAACTAGATGAAGAAATTGGATCGAAATGTTCAAGACCATCCAAAAATGTATTGATCTGATTTGCAAGTGGAATTAACTGAATATTAAGTAGATCTTTATGTTCTTTTAGATGATCGAGACATAGATCATTTTGACAACAATGACATACAGCACACGAAGATATTTCACATTTGTTAATAGCACATGCTCGAGTCTGTGACGCCATTGATATATTTGATTACTGGAAAAAAAATGACGTTAGGAAAGAGATTGTCGACACTACTTGTAAGTAAATCTTTTTCGTTTCTTTCACACGTGGCTTTTTTTTTGTATATAATTATAACGAAGAACGGCAAAAGAAAAAAAAGTATAAGGCAAAATATTCAAGATAAAAAAACAACTAAGCATTTCAAAATGTAGAGAAAGAATGTCGATCGGAAGAACTACTCATCATTTCTTCAATAACAGAAGACGAAATATTAATATCTAGAAGTAAAATAGTACGTAGTAATAAAATAAATATTTATTTTGATGTAATCGAAATATTAACGTGAGAATTTGGAATAAAATTAAAGATATTGAAAATTGTATGGCGATGTATATCTGTCTTTATAAGTATTTTTAATAATGTTAGAAAACTGTTTTTAATTTTTATTGTAATATCTATTCACCAAACTAACGGAAGAATCTATCACATGCAGTCAAAAATGTGAAATTAATGCGTGGCAACAATTTGTCTTTTTCTTTCTTTTGATGCGTTTCAAACCATCAAAAATGTCCAGAATTTAGTGTTTTAACGGTGACGTTTTTCTTATGCTTCAACCTCGTTATGACTATTTGTGGAAAAACTGTTCTTCGCGTTTGCAATATAAATACATTAAAACCCGTAATTTCGGACATTGTTGACTGTATGCATTCCGTTTGTTTCGATGGCATTTTAATGCGTTTTATACATGTCCAGTTCTCCACATTGATAGAAATAACGGATCAAAACTCCAAATTTCGGATATTTTTGATAGTATACATTCCGTTTACCCGAGAAGTGTTCTAATGTATTTGGCACATGATCAGTTTATTGCATTGCTTTATTCAACGCATTAAAATTGAATATTTCAGATACTTTCAATGAAAATAATATTGCAACTAAACGGATCAAAAAGGACTACAACTTACAGAAATTCAGATTACGAGTATTAGTAAAATATAGTATTCTATAATAAATAACAGACCCTATATAACATCAGTTCGTAGAAAAATCAGGAATTGAAAGTATAGTAAAGATGAGCAATTTCATTCTCTTCTGAAGAATAGATTCGTTGCCATATGGATATCCATAATCGAACAGCAGGTATCTGATAAAATCTTGAAAATATTTTGTCTTTAATGTAGCAAGAAAAATTTTATACAATAACGAAACAAGCGATGACCCTGTTAGTGCTGAGGTTCTCATTCATTCTATATTAAAGAGAAAACATTTAAAGATTTTATCAGATACCTGCTGCTCGATTATGGATATCCATATGGCAACGAATCTATTCTTCAGAAGAGAATGAAGCTGCTCATCTTTACAATACTTTCAATTCTTGATTTTTCTACGAACTGATGTTATATAGGATCTGTTATTTATTATAGAATACTACATTTTACTAATACTCGTAATATGAATTTCTGTAAGTTATAGTCATTTTTCACTAATCCCAAACACGATCCTAGTCTATTGGATTATTTTAATACATTCTTTCAAAATATATATTGAAATAAAAAGAGCGAAACGTACGTTAAACAATATTCTGCTATAGAACTGTTCACATAACTGAATGAATTAAAAACCTAATAATAGAAATTTCCCTTATATTACCTTAACTACTCTTATTTGATGTCTCTTGGTATCTCGGCAGTCTATATATACATATATATCATTTCAATGACAAAAAATTATTCATAGATCCAAAAATTTTTACGAAAGTAACAGCAACAAAAGAAAAAGCTCAACTAGCAGTTAACTCTTCTATCCATATGATAAAGTATTCCATTGTTTATTATGTTCTAGTAGTAATGCAATGATTTTTTGTTAAAGAGTTGAAAGATTCGTACAATCATATGAATCTGAACGGTTGTAGAAATTTAACTGAAAAAAGGGAAGAAGAAAATATGTACTCTTCGATGATTTTGTAATCAAATAATATTTCTTATTTCGAAATCAGTTCTGACTCTACTAAGACACTTGTTTTAGGGAATGTCATTAAACGAAAAATAAATCTACACAGAATATAGATAAAATAAAACCTTATCGCAACACACATAATAGAATAGTGAACTAGTGGTTTTCTATAAGTATATACCGGGTAGGTCAAATGTAAGGAAAAACAAAAAAAATCGAATATCTCTATTGTGGCTTGAGCAAACGAGCTAATTTTTTTATCAATGATAGAAACATGTTCAAGCTTTATATCCACAAAGACATGCCTAACGAGACCCTTTGTTAAGCATCACTATTAATCTGAACAAAAAAAATTTACTTTTTCACAGATAGGAAATAAAATAATATACTTAACAAAGGATCTCTCTAGGCATGTCTTTATGGATATAAAGCTTGAACATGCTTCTATCATTGATAAAAAAATTAGCTTGTTTGTTCAAGCCGCAATGAAGATATTCAATATTTTCTGTTTTTCCTTACTTTTGGTCCACTCAGTATAATTGCATTTTGCTATCTGTATTATATAAAGAAAGAATAGATTTCTCCTTTCGTTCATTTGTATTGTATGAAGAAAGAATAAATATCTCTTTTCGCCCGCATCGTACAAAGAAAAGAAAGTAGACATGTCCCTCTCTGACAATTTATTCTAATATATCGCCTCTCTCTCAGATGAGGTAATAGTATTCCAAAATCTAATGCTAATGAATTAAAATCGATTCTTTCGGAAAATCAATATCATTTATATTGTCAAGATGAAAAATTAGGGAAAGATGATTTGCAAAAATTTTTAACATCAGATGCACAAGTCTGAGAAAAATTTCGAGGTTACAAATGTAAAATTCTTGTTACTTTTACATTGAAATTTTCAGATTGTAATTTTTTCGAGACAACAAAATAAACTGAAAGAGATAATTACAGATCTCAATATTATAAACGTATATCTTACTAGATTACTCTTACTTTAATAGATATCTCAAAATTAAAACATGAAAATTGTTAATTTTCCTTCTTAGTAATATCGTTTAAATGTAAAATATAATGAAATACTCACAATTTTAATCTTTAATCTAACAAAACATTGAAAACTATCATCAGAGCGTTCTTGAATAATATTAAATCGAGAAAGTACTAATCATTTTAAGATAATTTTATTTAAATAAGTCAAATATGAACTTTTATTTTGTTGAATAATTCTGCGTAAGCGGTTGGTCTGTGAACAGACAAAAAATACACCAAGAAAACAACTATTGAGACATGATTCTATGACTTTTATTCCTTATACTTAGCTGATTTCGATTAGAAAAATACAATTTGCATAAGAACTAATATGATATTCTGAACCAACATCCAAAACTAGGAAATGTACATGTATTTTTAAAACTTTTTGCATCGAATGCTCACTCCTGATTCTCGTAGGATTAGGTCAAAAAAATGAATTTCATCGAAAAGTTATTTTGACAATGGAAATCAAGTTCTACGACTATAAAATGATAGTAGAATTTCAATCAATAGATGAATAAACAATAAAAATAGAGTTTTCATGAAATTCACTTTTTCCTGTAACCTTGAGAGGATCTGAGGTGAATTTTTTGATGTACACGTAAATCCACTCAGTTTTGGCTACAGATTCAGAATATCATATTAACTTTTATCTAAATCGTATTTTTCGAATCGACATCGACTAAATATCAGCCAAAAAAAGCCATAAAATCATGTCTCAACAGTTGTCTCCTTGGAATTTCTTTATATGAGGGTGTGAGTGTGAAAGGAAAGTGTATCAACATCCATATCTTCACCTCTTACCCACATTTTTATAAGTCTTTTCTTTCTATTTCTAGTAATTTGTATATGATCTTTGTTACAGTATTATCATTACATCACAAATAAAGTGTATTTTGCTTTTCATAATTTTCTAAAGAGATTTTGTAAATTGCTGTGTATGATCATTGTGATAGCGATCACCTTCGATATATCTTCTTGGACATTTTAGATTGGATATATATTTGTTTTTTTTTCTATTATTTATTACTGTTCACTTAACGATGAAAAACTTACATACAATACTTTCCTGCTGTTCTCGATCATCTTGTGCTAGGCTCATTGGATAATTATAAAAAATTTTGAAAGTTAGCTTTCTTTTTTTTTTTATTGATAAAAAGTGATACTCTTCAATATTTTGCGTTCATTCAGTCACTAGTTCTAGATGATTTTCGAAATCTGATAAAAGATATACACTTGCTTTGACGATTTTTAGCTGATTCTTCGGTCATTTCAGTTTTTGGCTGTCTATAATATGATGATTTTCACATGACTTTCTTGACTCTGGTGATATAAGAGTCAATTAAATTATCAAAATCAGTCATACTACAATTACATAGAAAGTGTTGCATAGAATATTGTATATGTATGCTTTATTCGCTATAAATGAGAATCTCTACCAAACCAATATAACGTAGTTTCTTTTCTGATAGTTAATATACATCACAATGTAATAATAAATAATTAGTCGATAGAACGAGATGAAAGTCATCAACAGTAAAACATTCATTTGATGATCTTTGACATCGACAAGGGACAAAATATCCCAAGAGATTTTGTTAAATTATTGATGATGATATCGTCGTCTAAAAGATATTCAACACAGAATAGATGTGTATGAGCTGTTTTTACATTAATCATTGAATCAAAGATCAAGTGGCTTGTTGACAACAATTTTTATCAAAGAAATAATTCGATATTTTGCAAAAATTCCATAATAAATACATTCTAATTCTACATCTTTTCATCGTAAACATGATTAAAGATAATCAGGATAAAAAAGAAGACATGTAAACTCAATTTTCTATCACGACTTGTGAGCTACGTTGTTTATGCTCGTGTTTTATATAGCCACACATTACACAAAAACACTCGGCAAATATTTTTTTTCTTTCACTCACTGTCGAATGTCACATGGCACATGTAAGAGAACGTTATTAGTTTTTTTTTTTTTTTTGATGCCGGTAAAAATATAAAATATTTCATTGAATCATTCTACATAGAATCAGTAAGAAAATTATAAATGATATTTCGTTTAGAATAAATAAAGTAAACGTTTAAGTTCATATTAAAAACAATGACAACGACTTCAAATCATCCTCAAGTTATTTTTATTGGTATTGCTGGTCCATCGGGTTGTGGTAAAACAACTTATGCTAAACATTTAGTTGAATATCTTCATTCACCATTACATATTATTGAATTAGATCATTTTTATATTCGTTCGATTACAATTAATCATCCTATCCTAGGACGTATTCAAAGTGATGAAGAACCTGATACTTTACATATTCAATCTTTAGTAAATTTAATACGACAGATAAAATATGAACCAGAAAAAATAACTCGATATCATCGAAATGATATTTCTATCAAAGATAATCAATATATATTTGTTATAGTTGAAGGTTTTCTATTATTTGCTTTATCTGATGAATTAACAAATATGTTCGATATACGAATATTTTTTGAATCAACACAATCTCAATGTCGTATGAAACGTTATCGTCGTCAATCGAGAATTAATGATACAATATCTGATGAACGAATACTTATTCCAAAAGAATTTCAACAATGGTTTGATTATTTAGTTTGGGCTGAATATTTAAAATGGCGTGATTTACAAATATCAAAAGCTGAAAAAGTATTTCATTTCGATGAATATCGAGATAAACAATATATACAACTTGATAATTATATTGATAAACGTTTAAAAGATCTTATAGATCGAAGAAAAACTTAATCTGCACTTATTTTTTTTCTCAAACTATTAATCTTCCTTTTTCTTTCGATTACATCATTATATACGTCTATTTATAACTTTAAATTCTTTCTTTTTTTTCCATCGATAGTCGATCGTAAAAAGATAAGTAAGAACGAAATAGACTATAACATATAAATTCATCATTTTTCAATTATTTTCAACCAAATAAAGTCGTATGTCATCGTCAACTAACTTCAAGTCGTCGAAAGACAATGGTAATGAGTGTATTGCGAATCAAGGATGTGTTGTATTGGCTGTTGCACTTTCATTAGTTATTCTCTTAATTTGTATTGTGCTCATGCTTGCCTGCTGTAAAAAACAACATCTAAATCGCATTCGTTCAGCACAATATCCCACTATACAACAGAATAATTATAATTCGAATTCATCTGCTCCACCTCCGTATAACTGGTGTTTAGAATCACCACCACCACCATATAATCAAGTCAAAGTTTGACTATTTACAAGAAATCTTTAATCGTTCTGTTTTAATTCAAAATTTTAATAAGTTCAAATTCTTAATTTGAAATAAAAATTATATATAAAAAATTTAATTCAAATAATATTTCATAGATAATATATCTGTTTGTATGGATGAAAACATATATCATTTAGGAAATTGTAGAGTTGGCTAGTGTACTCAATTGAAATTTTTTTAAATCCTAGGAAGTTGTAGAGTTCGCGAGTGTATTCAATTGAAATATAGTTTGTCTTACGAAGGAACATATTCAATTGTTTAATCACCGATCAATATGATATTTTGATAGGCCAGAAAGCATCGGAGTTATAATAGTTTTATCCAATTTTCGGTTTATGACAATGTATTCATAAAAAAATCAAAAAGAAAGAATTTTCATCTAAATTTTTGTCTGTAAATAAGTCTCTTAATTCTGAGTATAAAGTCATAAAGCGAATTTTTCTTGAATATTCAATATATCGAGAAGGATCCATCTGCTTTGGCTGAAACTTTCAGAATATTCTAAGAGTTAAGAGATCTATTTATGGACAGATATTCAATGAAAATTCCATTTTTTTAATTTTTTATTATGAATATCTTGTCATGAGCCAAAAATTCGATAAAACTCTCATAACTCCAAAAGGAAAGCCTATAGAAAGAAATCCTTTCAGATTTTTTCTAGTCTAACAAAATATCACTTCGATCGGTGATTAACAATTGGATATGTTCCTTCGTTAGAAAGCTTCGACCAAAAGAAGAAGGGATCTTTAAGCTTATACTTTTTGAGTAGCATTCTTTAAAACACAATCTAAAAGAAGTGTTGAAGTATAGGTATAAAAATTTAGACGTACCACACAGACCATGCCAAATATCTTAGTAACTTTCCCTTGCGTCATAGACTATGAGATACTTACACCTCGCTGAATTTAAATCCTAATGTGTAGATGCTATTTTTTGTCATTCTATGCAGTCATTTGCAGTATAGCTATCGTATGATAACTATGTTACAGACAGACACAAGTGAATTCTCATTTCTAGACCCTATCCTTTCAGTCGGAAGAAAAGTATAGTGAAGAAATGTGTCCCAAAATAGATAGAATACAAATAATCTTCCGGTGATTGCTAATAGCAGTTACATCATGTTTCATATTTTAATCCCAGAGGATTTTGTTAAATCGATGTCTATTTGACTTCGAATTGAACTTAGTTCGTAGATGATATGTAACCTCATCAAGCGAGTACGATTTGCCATCATAAGTATTCAAGTTACTCGTACAAGTACTTGAAGAATTTTATGTGTATGAATACTGTATGTATACTCATACGAGTACTCCGTGTAGTATTCATACGAGTTTTTTCGTAGAATATTTAGAGAAACACTTATGCACAAAAATAAATTGAAATTATGTAGTAAAGAAAAACGATACAATTTTAAATAAAAAATAGAGAAGAACTGTTTTGATGAATTCTATATTTTATCCTCTATTATTTTCTGATGATTGGTTTATACGATTTCATTGGATTATGACTTGAAGAAAAAAAAAACGACTTTTCATTTTTAACTGTTAACTTCGCGAGTAAGATTTAATATTGAATTTGAACATATTAATCGAAATTCACTCTAGTCTCAATTTCTAAATTTAGATAAAAAGTTCTGTATTAACATAAAGTTTTTCAGATTGATGATGGATCGTAATAGAAAAAAAGAACTAACAATTTTTGTTGCAAATCAATTGCGATTTTAAATTATACACACATGAAGACAATGACTACAGATGCATAATTTATTTTTTACTGTTTTATTTTTATAAATTGTTAAATGTTTGTAGATATAAACGATTTTTAAACATTTATCTTTTTTATTGTGTATCAATCAATATTGAATCGTTATTTGTAATCACATATTTCAATTTCACTGAATAAAATCTATTATTTATTTTTCTCTAAGTTTATTTTACTGCCACTTAATCAGTTTACTGTACTCTTACTTTATAAAATAGAGACAAAGAAATCTTCATTATTTGTTATAGAAGAACGTTAGATATTTCTTTATCTCTAGTATTTGTGTTAAAAACTAATGCAGATAAAGTAATATTTGTAACTCATATTTTCAATATGTAGCATTGTATTTTATGTTATTAATTTTATATAAGAAATAAAATGGACGTAGTACAACGATAATGTACAAAATATAGGCCTATGAGTATTTTACATAAACGACTAGAGTACTCCAAAACTATATAGGAGTACTCATGAAATATTCATTATTTTAAGGTAAGTACTCGATGGTCGTACTCAGATTCTAGTGCGAGTACTCAATAGTCGTACTCATATACTCAAATTCTAGCACGAGTACTACTGGTGAGTACTCAAAAGCCTTGAGTACTCATGGGTTCTCGCGGCATTTTCTAGTGTGAGTGCTTTTTGAGTACTCTCTTGATGAGTATCTTCACTAGGGCATGATGTATGGTCAGTTATTTATAGTCGATTATATTAAAAGATCAGTATAAAAATTGAAATGGTTATAGAGTGTATCACTTTTGTTCTCCTTTTCCTTTCTCTTCATCCATTCTGCATACGTTCTCATTCTTTTGACTCACACATTTTATGAATAAGAAAAATCATTTTTTCAATTCTTCTTATTATTCATTATCTAAAACAAAGGAAACCAAACTTCTCGACTGGTCGTTATCTTTATCTATCTCCATGTATAAATATTAATAAACACTATTTCGCATTTACAAAATTTCATGTATTTATAACTATAGAACCTAAAAAACAAGAAATAAAAAAAATACATTTGATAATGAATGATTGAAAATAAAATGATGATTAGTATGAAGATATACAACTGTATGCACTAAGTATAAACAAGATAACCAATAAAATAATCAAAGATAAATTTAACATTTTGAGAACGTCATGATTTATCAATAATTGGTCGCTCGAATGAGATTCATTCTCAATTAATACAAGAATATCCAACAATATCTTTAGAATTACAAATAATTCTTCGAAAAACATATTATATATCAGCTCACAAGATGATTTAAATAAACATAACGAAAAAAAAAATCATTTGACATTTAATGTATGAAAATGGAAAATAATTCACATTGAAAGACATCGAAATGTAACTGTTCAGTTTTTTTTAAGAATGTGGATATGACTATTCGTTTGAAATATTGTAAATCACTAGCAGCAACAAAGATAGTGCCCATATCGATGAGAAAAGAAAAAGAGATAGATCAAAAAAGGCTAAATCTATTTTGCTAATACAACATTTCAATTACTAATCACTTAAATGATAGCCTAAATATATTCCGTTGTTAAGTTATATTCCAAACAACATAATACAAAATTTAAAATGTTTATTCACTTGTTCATAAAAAATATTTTTGAAAATCATTTTTCAATTTCGACACAGAAAAAATCATTAGTGCATATATGACAATATGAATAAAAGAAAATGAATATTCCGTTTATAGTTGAAAAAGCTATTAGCGCAATTCCCTGTAGGGTTAACATGTGAAACACAATCTAACTGTTCTTACTAATGATTCATGATTGTATTAGTCTATCTATTTTTGGAATACATTTCTTTGCTATCCTTTTACTGAATTCTTTAGAAATGCAATAAAGAAGTATTTCACATATTATAACGAAACGTTATTAATCTAGTCCTTGATTGTATATTAACGATATTTTGTGAAGGTTCAAATTTCTATTCTATACACTTCAATACTTCTTATCGATCATATTTCAAAAATAAGTACATTCTATTTTGATTAATACAAGTGAAAAATAAAATTTATTTTTAAATTATGTCGTAGTTTGGCATTGAATTAATTATCAAGAAATATTAATAATTTTTGTTTTAAACAAAAATTGTACTCAGTTATTCTTCTTCTCTTATGTAAGCTTATAACTTGTGTTATAAATGTTCTATCTAAATGAATATATTTCAAAATATTCAATTTATCAAAACAAAAAATTGAATAATCTGTAGTCCAAATAAGAATTTCATAATCTTCATTTTATTTTCCTCGAAAACATCGTGTCAAATGCCAATATTTGTATACGACCATCGTACGCAATATTAATGATAAGGATTATAATATAATAATCGATAAATCCATCCATATGTTTATAAAAACATCATTATTTGCTAAGCCAAGACTAATGTCTTATATTCTTATCACTAATTATGTTGATTACATTTGATTTTCATAATATCATAAATATATTATTGGAATTTTAATATGTTTTGTTTTGTACTATTTGTATATCTAAAAGAAAATCTATTGATATTATCTGAATTTTTTGAGATAAAAAAGAAAAAAGCTTGAATATTTATAGAGTAAATAAAATAATATAATTCCTCAAGAGAATCATCGCCTGATAGTATATTTATAATTAGCATTGACGGGTAACCCTCGATTCTGTCTTAGTTGATAATTTCTCATTTGAATTTCTTCTCAATTTGGTCATTTTTCATTAAATCAAATGTAGAATCTTCGTGATTAGTCGTTTCAAGAATTCATTCCAGAACGGTTATTGACTGAACAGAACTTATGTAATAATCCGGCTTAAAGAAAATGATGCGTTCGTGATCACTGTTATGACACATATATTAAATACGCAAAGCGAACAAAAAATAACATGCAATTCACAATTGCCTATCGTGATATACTTGTATTTAATTATCAAGGTTTAAAATTAGTAATTTAATATAGCAAGGTCATAACAGCAAACAACTTAATTTTTTGTCCCTTCTGATATATTTAACGTATCCATGTGGTATCAATGTCGATAACTTTTGTGTTGTTTTCTTGTTAGTTATTTTATTATACAAATTATTCTTGTTTATGTTAAATATAATTATAAATCATCATAATTGATAATATTATGATTGCATTGAGAAATCATCGAATGCGACCAAAATGGAAGTAAATTATCATTGACATTACTTTCCGTATGGAAGATACAATATTTTTTTTTTCTGTCGTAATGTATTATTTTCATTAGTCTTTATGAATCAGACAATATGTCAACATTAATATATGAATATACTTGATAAATGACAATTCTCTATCCAATTTATTTTTGACCGTACCAATAAATGTTCTACATAATAAAGTTTAATGAATGATGATGAATATTGCATGTGAATAGAAGAAACAAAAAAAGAAATCTTTTATCAATTATTTTATAAATAGCTTTATTATTCTAATGAAAAATAATTATTTTCCTTCTTTTTTTTATTATTATTTTTATTCATATTAAAAGTATTTTTGTTAATTATTAATGACAGAAATATAGAAGATATGACTTTGACAAACTTGAAAACTAAATTAGTAAGAACGATATATACGTCAAAATAGATCATTTACAGATATTAATGGATATATAATAAAACTTAGTTCGTCATTATATGATAGACATTAGCAAATAGAAATTTTCTTTTTTTTTTTTTTTTACTGAGTTTTCGCCAATCCTAACATTAGTTTATTCAAGATAAAGAAGAAAAGAGAATCTTTCTAGTTTCTTTTTGCTTTTTCTTTTCTCTCATATCTATTTCTTTTGTCATTTTTCTCAATAACTGTCACGTTTTCAATCAGATCTATTAGCAGAATTAAATATTATTATCAACTTATTAACAATAGTTTTACAATTATTTGTATCGAAATTGTTCAAATTAGAATAAGCAAAAAAAAGAAAAGGTCAAATATGTTTAATTCATCTAATGAAACTTATTATCAGTATATTATTGTACGTAGTTTAAGTATATATGCTCTTATACTTGTTATTGTTGGAACATTAGGAAATGTATTAACAATAGTTATTTTATGTCGAAGAAATTTAAGACGTTATGTTACAATGAGATATTTAATTGCCGTTAGTATATGTGATATTGTATCATTATATGGATGGAATTTAAATAATTTTTATAAATATACAATTAGTTTAAATTATACTAATATAGAAGATTTTTCAGTTGCACATTGTCGAATTATCTCATATTTTACATTTGTTGGTTTACAATTATCAAGTTGGTGTCTAACAGCTGTTAGTATTGGTAAGTTTTATTCTATTCAATAGAAAAGTTCATAAAAATTGCAAGAAATCTGAAATCTTTTTAGTATATTCATAGTGCATTAGAATCTACATGATGAATATAGATTCGATTATTCAATCGGAAAACTTTCCTCATCAAATTATCAATTAGTTTTTACTTAAAAAAGTTTTTCATATTATCAAAGTGTTCTATATTTCTTTTGATGTTATGATATATCTCGTGTTTGAATGGCCATGTTTAAGCGGACTGCCCCTTTTCGAAATTTCTCGAGAACGGTAATTATGAAACTTTCAGTGCAACAGATAGGCCTCGATGGATAGAGAAAAAGTTGTTATAGACTCAAAAATCTCAGATCCTTCCTTCAGGGAGACATAGAATCCACAAGTACCAAAAATCGGTAGAAGTTTTTTTTCCCCTTAGTAAAAATTTATACTATGTCTTTCTAAGCTGCAATATATTTCTGTGACAGCTAGGGTCAAATCAAGGTGTATTAAAAAAAAAAACTTTAAGTCCGATCGATTGTACCGCGGAGGAGAAAAGAGGGAAGAACTTCATTTTTTTGTTTCTTAAAAAAATGATTTTGAATAAAATGCAAAACAAAATTTTTTGTATGTATTAGGACTTTTTTTTTTCGTCAGTTAAAACTGCGTTCAATGATGTTAGGAGTCCATGACCAATGTTCTAAGCATCTCTGGAATGGGAAATAAGAATTATTATTAGGGAAATCTGTATAGAATGTGTAAGTTAACTAATAAGGAGGATCTCTCATATTTATATGACATTTGACAGAGAACATCTCGGGATCATATCAGCAATGAAAAAGCAAAAGTTGAAAAAATTTTGATTCTGATATCCGATTACCGGTCATTACTAGTGCGTCTATTTGTTTTGCTCTTATTATCTCGTAGACTATCCATAGATGAAATAGTACGATAACTAGTCGATACAGATTTCAGATTAGCTGACTCGATCTGATCTAGGTTAGTTCAGATCAATTCCATTTTCTGCTCTGTAAAATCTTCATGCATCTAGTTTTTTAATATCGATTGATCAATAACTTTTATTCTAATATAAAGTTTCTGATTCTATTAGATCGTTGTTTAAGTTTATATTTTCTAACATGGAAACAAAGTTATGGTAAATTATCTCATACAAAATATTACATAGCTATATTAACAATAACATGTTTATTGTTCAATTCTCATATTCTTTTTCTCAATGGATATCGATCTGGTCCTCCACATTACATTGTTAAATGTTATGCTGCACGAAAAAATCTTCTTTATATTTATCCACAATGGGAACGTGCTCATCTTATTGCTTATAATTTATGTCCATTTTCTATTATGTGTCTATGTAATACATATATTATTTATATAACTATTCGTTCAGCTCGTATTCGTCTATCAGCAAGAAGACGAAATCGTCGTCATCGACAATTATCAATAATGTTAATATTAGTAACATTTGTTTTTGTTATATTAACATTACCATCATGTATATATTATGTATTTTTTCGTCATCGTATGTCTCGTACACCAGAATTACGTATGTTACGTTATATGGTACAAATATGTTTAGGTAGTATACAATTTACAGCACATGCAATAAATTTTTTTCTTTATTGTTTTTCAACAAAAAGTTTTCGAAATGAATTACATGATTTTTTAGAAGAAATATTTTTATGTTTAATTAAACCTAAACGATCAACAATGAATTCAATATCAATAACAACATATAAAAAATATTCTATAAGAAAACGTCATATGAAACAAGAATCAACATTAGAAAATCAAGAAACTGGACAACAATATGCATTAAAAGATATGCAGACAATATTTATTAATAATGAATAATTTATATTCTTATTGATTTCATTTTCTTTTTCAAAAAAAAAAACAATCATTGTAATTGTCACGTTTCTTTTTTATATTAATGATAGCAGAAAAAAAAAAAGAAAAATTATTTAACTAAATAAACTCTTATACGAAAATTGAGTTTTGCCACGTATATATCCATGTCGCACGTTTATTTGCACTATCACCGGTATGATGGAGCAGACATATATAGGGTGCCTGAAAATTTATCTACCAAAATAAAAGAAAAAAGAACAGGAGCGCATAAGAACCATCCTCATTTTGCTTTCGTTCATCATTTACTTTATACAAAGTCTCACGAGAAATCGTTTGGTAACATAATAAAGTGATTTGTGAAAGAGTCTAACCAATTTTTCCTCAAATTATTAATATTTACATTTGAATTATTAAATGCATGATTCATACACGGAAGAGTGTCTTATATAAATTTTCCTACAGTAAAACATTTCCAGCTAAAAACTATATAAGTATTGTTCTAAATGAGTAGAAAAATCATATAGTTATGTTAGGAAAAAAAAACCAACATGAGATTTTGAAAGTTCGTAGGAAAGGCTACAAAATCAGATACTTTATGAATTTCTTAGAAGTGTTCTTTTATTAAATAAGACAACTTGAATTTCGTTTAGACGAATAACATATTTGGAATTAGCATAAAAAGCTGAGCTGAAGTTTTTTAATGAACTTTTTGTCCTCGAAAAAATTCAGCTACGGTCCCAATCAGAGTCAACTTAAAAAATGAATTTAATAAAAACACCATTTTTATTCGTTAATTATCTGTTCTTTTATCTCGTGGTGACGTTTTACAACCTCAAAACTTGTTTTCCACTGATCAAATGATTTTCTAATTATATTCATTTTTTGACTGGACTCTGAGGGGATTCCAAACATGTTATCCGTTTTAATCGAAATCCTACTTTTTTCAATCAAAGTCTATTAAAAACACATAAAAAATCGTATCTAAACGAAATTCAAGTTGTCGTATTGAACAAAAGACCACTTCTAAAAAAACGAAAAGTATCTGGTTTTGTACAGTGAACAGTAATGGTCATATAACTATATGATTGTCAGACTCATTTGGATTCATATTTATGTCATTATTCAGCAATACTTCAATCATTCGAACTGAAGTATTTACCCACAAAAAAGGCTATAACATGGGTAGGCAATTGATATAATTTTCTGTTGGAAATGTCTTAGTATAGGAAAATTTATATGAGGCATCCTTCCGTGTATGAATCATTCATTTATGATTCAAACGTAAAGATTAATAATTTGAGAAAAAAATGGGTCTATCTATTTCACAAATCGCTTTATTTTGTTACCAAACAATTGCAATACTTTGTAGAATTGAATAACACATTGTTAATGACTTCATTAGTTTATTGATAATAATAAAAACTGTTTGATGTTACAGCAAAAAAAAGATTACAATAATAAAATTATACATTCATGAGTATCTTTACATCAAAAGAACCGGTAAGACATGACTATTAATGAAAATTGAAAAATATAATATTCTTTTGTTTTAGTCATAAAACATAATAACTCATTGGTGAGAAGAAATTTGCCTGAAGTATTTTCGTTTTTTATCAGAAAAATACAATCACATTCAATGATTAAAAAGAGAAATTTAACTATTAGAGAAGCCAGTCATGACTACAGATTCCAGGTTTGAGTTTAAAAAAGTTTTTTTTTTATTAATTTTTTTTTAGAAATTTATAAAAGAATATAAAATCTTGTATAAAATCGAGGTATAGAATTTAAAGTGATGGCAGTTTTAATTTCTTACTAATTTTAAGCTATAAATCAAAAAAAATAAGCTAATAAAAAATGAAATTCAAAAAGTAATGTAGCAAAACCTTTTGATGTCAGTATGAATAATCTCTCTATGAAACTTTTTTTGGATATGCTATTTGAAATTATAGCTGAACCTGCATGAACAAATATTTTTTCCAATATTGTACGAAGTACTGTATGTAGATTTACCATAGCCAATCATGAAACACTCCTTCGTTTGACTTACTTCTATTTCTTTTTATCGATTAACTCAAAATGATTGCATTCAAAATTGAATCAGAACGTTTGGGTTCACACTCAATGTATATCTATGAAGAAAAGCTATACATTAATATAGTTATATAATTCTAGTATATTACTACAATTATATTTATGCAGTGTTTTGATCATTACCATTCAACTACTTATTAATGATCTTTTGTTTATATCTACATATATGTGTAACGTTTCTTATGACAATAATTCAAATTCTTTAAGTTTTTCTTTTTAAGGACTACCAGTCTTCTCTTGTTTACTGAAGAAAAAAAGACGTCAGCACATTTCTTTTTTTTTCTGTCCCATAAAACACCTATGGGAAGAAAATGAAAAAAAAAGTTTAATAAAGAAAACATGTGATAGTTGTATTGTTAACAAATATAAAAGGCATAGATTTTATCAAGTAATGTTTAAAAAAAAATGCTGAAATATAATAAATAAAATAAAAGCACACAAAAAATGACGTATCTCTTTCTGGATTACTATAACAAAAATGTTGTCAATAAAGAAGAGAAAAACAGCTGATGAAATGGACTGTATTTTACTATTTTATTCAGGTGATATATCTTCCCATGATGCACCACCATGGAAGTTTGCTGTTGAAGTTGATTGTTGTTGTGTAGTTTCTGATAGGACCGATCGATTCATAGGAATTAAGCCACGTCGTAATATTTCTTGATCATTTCGAATTATTTCTGCAATAAGTGCTTCTCGAGCTTGCTTATATTTTTCAATTTCCATACAACGTATAGCTTCTTGCATGTATGTTGGTAAACCAGGATTAACACTCAACGTACATGGTAAAACTTCTCTAGGTGTTTCACCAAAATCCAGCATAATTTTGATAAACATTGTACGATCTCGAATATAACAGTTTTCTTGATTTTTAATAACTGCTAAAGGACAAAATTTTGGTATACCACTAGCAATATTCTTTTCAGAAGTTGGCCTTTGAAAACTACTTGATTTTGTATCAGGATCGAATGAATCAATGATATGATGACCTTGACCAGTTTGATCAAAGAGACAAAATATAACAGGAATATAAAATGGCCACCAAATAATAGCATCATAATCTCCTTTAAAAAGAACGAGAAATATAGACATATGTGTACCTTCACCATCACCATCTCCATTTAAAAATAAACGAGCACGCATTTTATAACCATATGGTGATGAATAGAATACTGGTGATTCAATTGAAGTTTGTTTTCCGGATTGAGCTTCAGCTGAAATTGAAAAAGACAAGAAATCTCAATTAACAATTTATAAATGAAACCTATTACTCACCAAATTTTTGATCAATATTTGTAATTTTCCATATAAGTGTACCATCATAACTTATATAATGAAGATCTTCAAGTAGTTGTGTGATTTGTTGAAGTCTTTTTTCACATTCATCTTGATCAGATTTCATTTTTTTAATACAAGCATTTGTTTGTTCACAGCTCATTTTTAATAATAAACATTCTTGATTTAGACATTGCAATGTATTCTTCTGAACAATTAATCCATCACTAACATGTTTCCGTTTTTCATTTATTGTTGTAATATTCGTCATAATCGTATCAAGTTTTTTATTTAGATTCATTGGCCGACAAAAAGCATTGGTATTCTTATACGTATAAGGGTAACGACGTGTTGACAAGCGTAGTGAAATTTTCATTCTATTCGAATTTTTTGGAAGGGTCTAAAACAATAACAATTGAATTGTTTTGGGCTTTATTAAATTGAAGTATAGATACTGATTCTTGAGAAATACAAGAAGGAAATAATGGTTTATTACAACAGTTGCACATCCATCTTTGATGACAATGAACCGGATAGACCTTCTAAAAAAAAAGAATAATCAATGAGAATTTAAGTAAATAAATCATATACAGCGGTTGTAAAAAAGTATCTGAAATTTAATTCTTTAGTCTCATAGTTTGGCCACATATAGAACATGTTGAACTCTGATCGCAAGCGCTAATCTCAACATAGAAAATAAATCTCATGATGTTAGAGGCCTCATTCAACAATTCAGTATTGTCTCAATCATCGATAAAAACTCTATATCAAACGATTTTAGTTTTTCTGATATATCAAGTATTCTTTGGATAATCCTCATATGAAAGTTGATGAGAATCATCGAGAACTGACCGATATCTCCTTCAGTTAGTTTTAACTATTTGCCTTGAAATATTCTCCAATGAGTGTTATACTCTAATCAAGTTTTTTTGCAGTCATTGATGAAAAGAAAAGTCATACTGGAATCGGTTCAGACAATGGAAGCTTTCCCGACGCCTAAAGATTACAGTGGATCGAAGCACCCTATGTGTGATCCAATATCTACATGTACGTCTTTACTTGTTACTGAGAAAACGGAGGTGATAGTGGAAAACCAGAGAAGTATCGAAAAAGCCTTTTTTTATGCCCTTGGGAAGAAACCAGTGTTTGCATCGTAGACTCTGGCATCAGAATCTATCAACCTTGGGTTGTTACTATGGATCAGAAGTTATCGAACTCTACTTGTAGTCAAAATATCAAGCAAAAGGATTGAAGTTTATGTACTTTTTACTCGGTAATGGCACTTCTTGTGACTACTATAGTTATTAAATTATACATCGTGTAAGAAACAATCAATATCATTTTAGTAGAATATTTGATATTACCTGTTGACAATCTGCACATAAACCAGTATCCCTTTAAAATGAATAAAATAATGAATATTACATAGAATTAATTGTAAAAATAAGCTTTGCCTCATTTCACGTTGAATACACCCTAGTTCAGGCAATTCATCCATCATGTTTCTATGGAATGTACGTGTACTTGAACCATTTAAATCGAATTTTTCTTTTTGTCCTTTTGTTTTCATTTTTAAAAAATTAATCACTAAAAATTTCTGGAATAAATCTAAAAGATTATTGAACATTTTCATTATTTAACAGGCACACATATCTATATAATATAATCCATGATATTATAAAATAAAAGAAGACATGTATGAAAATTTCTTAATAATGTCAAATAATTCATTGTTCTTGTACAAAATGTTCAAATTTTACAGTTTAATCACATATTCATTAAAGTTTTATTCAATATATTTGAGATAAAATGTTTCCACCTAAATAGTTTCACTCATAGTCAAATTCGAATAAGCTAACACTTTAAAGCAATAATTAGAAATTGAATGTGGGAAAAATATGTCCACTAAACATTGCATTAGCAACACATTTCAGCGATTTTGTAACACTGGCACTGTCGAAAATTGATGATTATAGAACAATTACTGAAGAAAAAATCGATGAATTTAATAACGTTTGTAAAAATGAGTCAGGATCAAGTGTTTGGTCTATTTAACTCTTCTTCATAGAAGTACCTTGCATAGCTTTCATACAAGATATTCCATCATAGTCCGACATATTGTTGTTTCTGGTTATGAACAAACTTGTGCAATGGACTAAATAGATGATCCTGGCTTATTTTTACAAGCATTCTTAACTGCATTAATTTTTTCTTAACTAATTAATATAGATCTTCCAGAATGTAATCGCTTTTCGATAGCATCGAATTCACAAAATCACTAAAATGTGGCTCTAATACAGAATTTAGGCGACATATTTTGACTGAATTCGACTTGCAGCTTTCGTTTTACAATAGTAGCTGATTCGAATTTGACCATGAGTCAAACTATTTTAATTTTAACTTCTGTAAACACAGACATTTTATCTGAAAGCTTTAATACATATGTTATCAAACTAGAAAAAAGAAACTATTTAAATCTCTTAAATTACTGAGAAGTTATTCACAGTTCTTTTTCGTTTGGACTTATCGAACATTTAGTACATTTGAGTCATTAACTTTACAAAATCTAGAATAGATTTCTACGAGATAGTCTTCATATGCAACTAATCGACTGTTAAAAGAGTTCAGAGCACAAAAGTGTAAATAGATATTATACTATGAAAACAAAAAGCTGAGTACTTATACAAGGAATAGAGAAAAGAGACGAATAAAAAAAGATGTCGAGAATCTTATTCTGCCTTTTTTTTATTGAGAGCCATAGATAAAAAAAAAAAAGAGAAAGAATATTCTTCTTATTTCATTATAAAACATTGAATAGTTTTAATGGAAGGGAAAAAGTAGGTATAGAAAAGATAGCAATATGTATAAGAGAACTCGAGAAATAATATATAACATTTCCTCTCATCATTTGTATGTTCACATAATCATACTATGATCTCGTGAAATATAACCACTAAACCTATTTGAATCAATTGTGTTGATTTTTAGACTTATACTATTCTCAAATATATGTTAAGATAAACGAATAGTAAAATACTCTCAGACATATTTTATTATTTTTCATATACCCAAAAACTTTTAAAACGTAAACTTGACTTCGCTAAGATGAAACTTGTAACCATATCGAGACATGTGGAAAATCAATAATAACAATTATATCTGGATGTAGTAAATGTTGAATCTCAATTGTACATCAACCCACTGGCTCGTTATGTTGCAGACGCATTCATACCTTAAAAAATGTCTAAAAAAAGAATGTAAGGTGCCCTTAAAACAAAGTGTATTTATATAATATAAATCATTGCGGAGGCGAATTAAATAAAGTCGTAAAAATATTGTTTTAAATACGTAAGCTTGTTGACTCGTTACTTAGTAAAAAAGAAACAAAATGCTGCAAAAAAAAAGAATTATCAACCACTTTTTTTGTTTTGTCATACAGAACACAAAAAAATGTTGTATATGTCATCCCTTTTATTGACTTTTTGTTAATCATCATTTATTCACATATCTTAGCCATCAGGTTTATTATTTCATCACATGATATGAAATAATGATTAAAAATAAATTCATTATATTAAGAAAAACGATTTTATCAAAACTTACAAATTTAAGATTGACATTGCTTATCAGTCAATTTCTCTTGAGTTAGAATATGAATAACATCTTATACATTTTTTTTTTCTTATTACCATAAATGACTCTTTATGATTGTATATTTTAAGTTAAAAATAATCTTATACAACTCTTCGTCACTTTTTTCGTTTTAATACATTTGTATTATATAGATTATCTTTTAATTTAATTTATGTATTAAATAATAAACAGGATATCTAACTATCTATTCTCATACGAACTAAACTGTCTTAATATCTATAGTTATATAGAAAAAAAATCAATTATTTAGTAATGGTTATGCATAATTAAAAACTTTATTCTAAAGTATATATATCAATAATAATGTTTAACAAAATAAGCAGATATAATCAAAATATCTTTAAAATTTTAATTACTTAATATGATTCATAACATCGAACACAGTCAAAACTTACATTATAGCTTTTCTTTTTCGTTTATCAACTAGTGATAAGAATGAAAAATTGTTGCTCTGTTACATTGTAATTACACAACGATGACGCTATTCTATAGATTATTCATCTTAGATACAATATTATAACATAGTCTGTTGTCACAACAAAGTAAGATGCATCAGCTTGCTTTTTTATTTTTCAAATAATTCTCTATAAACATTTCACATCTAGTCATGATGTGACTAACTGAAACAATAATATTGATACTTTCTCATTTGAATGCCTAATGCCATCATCAATCATTGTACATATTCGACGACTTAAAGTTATTCATAATTATCTCTGATATAAGCATAAGAACATAATTTAGGCAAACAAAAAAAGATTATTAAATTTCTCCATGGTTTTTACCCTTTTCTCTTCGTCTGACTAATAGAAAAAAAAATGTCGCAAGCACACTTAAAAAAACAAAACAAACAATTTCGTTTTTTTTTTAAGCCTTCCATTACAATTGTGCATTTGACTAAAAACCATCAACAAACACAAACATTCTTGCAAACGTAAAACATGACAACATCAAAGCAAGATTAAAAACAGAAAAATGTGTGTTTTAAATTATAGACAATTAATATTCAATAGACAAAATAAATGAAAATAAAATCTAAATGAACATATCTTTAATACTTGTCGCTGTTTACAATTATACATCGTCAAGACGCACACTTCTTATTTTATAAATATTTGAACAGAAATGAAGATAGAACATAAATATTATGTTTAATGAAAACAAGTCTTGAAAATAAACACAATATGCAGAAAATCATTGGTAGTCAAAGATAATTAAAAAATATGTTTCTAGTCACATATTGATAAGATCCATTGATTTCAATTCAAAAATCTCCTAGCAATTCAACATTCTATTCGAGACTGTATCAAAAAAAAAAAATAATTTGAATTTTGTAAAAAAAAAATAAATAAATTTCTTATAGGAAAATGTTGAATTTATTTCTCATTCGATTATGAATACTATGAGTAGTTTTTGTTATTAATTCTCGTTCTAATAAAACTATACTGTATAGAATTGTTATTGAAAAAGAAGTTGCAAAGAATTTTGCTAATTATTAGTTGTTCCTGCCCATGTATACTACATACGCCAAAAGATACTGATTAAAATTCTTTGGACTAGGTAGAGATAGAAAGAGTTTTAGTTTAATAATTTTCTACAGAAATATGATCATTCGTAATATGCAGACAAAAACAAATTGTATAAATTTATAAACTTATTTATTGACAATTCTTTTTTTTAAATATGAATAATAGCCATGATGTTTATAGAAGAATGAGTAATATTAATCTCTCGTGAAATCAAAGAGAACAACTGATCAACTATAGCCTTTGAGAAACAAAAAAAGTATGAAAAAATAAAGACAAGGAGAAATAGAGAAACAATAATTCATAGCCCGTATCGACGGGAAATAGAGAAACAATAGTTCATAGCCCATATGACAGAGAAATAGAACGACCAACAAATAAAGTTTAGCGGCTACATTATGTCAGTTGACGATAATTGCAGAAACAAATATATTATATAATCATTTCATTACATAATTAGCCCAGAAAAGATGTTTCATAAAATGGGAAACAATTTGTGTAATTGACTATTATTCATAAGATAATAGAGTCTCATTAGGCCAGTTGAGACATGGTACTTGAAAAAATTTCAGGCGTCCATTAGTTGTTAATATAAATATGTTGGATTGAATATCACTGATAAAAATCTTTTTATTTCTCTGTTGAGTACATAAGTTATAGCCAATAAAGAAAATAACTTCATTGTAGACATGTGTAAGGTTACCCTGTCCTGCAGGGTAGGTTAATGATAAACATCTTGGAGGGTAGAGTAGAGTAAGGGTAACCATATTGCAGGGTAAGAGTAGGGGTGCAACAAATCTAGAATATATTTAGGATTTGATCAAGACCCTTGGGATTTGATTCGTATCTAGAGCTTAGGTTTGAATATAGATTTAGACTTGGAGTATGAATTTGTTGTTGGACAAAATCTACATGAATAGTTTGTAATTTGATGACCGTTACCACAACGCAAGCTATTTATATATTTTTTGCCTACGACAAAATCTGAATCTAAAAATTAAGGATTTACTCTCAAATCTCAAAATCTTTTTTTGGTTGTATCACATCTCTAGTAAAGTAGATCGTTGTTGATGCCACCTTATTCTATCCAATCCTTTGAGGTTGGAGTCATTTGGGATCAAATTCACATCTAATCTCAAATACAAACTAAACAAGAACAAATCTCAAAGCTTTGAGTTTGTTGTATTGCTAAGTAAGGGTTAGAAAATTTTTCTCAGTCAAAGTATAGGGTACGAAAAAAGCTTATCCTGCATATCTCTACATGATTGTTTGATTAAATTGTCATAACTAAGAACTCAATATAATTTGTGATATGTTCTGAGTATTTGTTATGTTAGTAATTGATTGGTTTTGATAGAAATTATTAATTGCTTCTTGAATTAATTTATGTTGTTGAAGAGTTGGTAATCCCGGATCAAGATTTAATACATATGGTAGCAGATCATCAGGTATTTGGTTGAAATCGACCATAATTTTGATGAAAATTGAGTCCTCTTGAACATAGGGATTATTTTCTTGTTCAATGATTGCCAAAGGAATAAATTTTGGTATACCACTAGCAATATTTGTGTCCGTATGTGGTCGTTGACAACTATTTGGTATTACATCTGGTTGAAAAGTATCAAAGATATGTTGTTTTTTATCTGTTTGATCATACAAGCTGAATATTATTCGAGAATTGAATGGCCATCCGAGTATGTCATCGTATTTTCCTTTCATTAGAACGAAAAAGAGTGACATATGTGTTCCTTGGCCGTCACCATCACCATTTAGATACAGCCGAGTACACATTTTATAACCTGTAGGTGATGAATAAAAAGGAGGTGAATAAATTGAAGTTTGGCGTCCTCATTGAGCATTTCCTAGAATACGAAAGATTGAATCGGTTAAATACTAATAGTGATTAGTTTTCTTCTAGTTTTTGTCAGAAAAAAAGATGTAATGATATTGCGAAACATTATGTCAATAGATTTAGTATTATTGACAATACTTTTAAAAGTTTTATTTATAAAAATTATTTTGATCTGAAGGTAATAAAATATACAACAAATAGTCTTACTCATTTTTTCTTGAAAATTTGTAATTCTCCATATTAATGTTCCATCGTATGACACAACCTGTATATCTTCAATTTTTTGTTGAAGTAATTTGATCTTCCATAAAAGTATTTGTTGTCTAATTACCATTGCATTCATCAAACTATTTGACTTTGCGCAGCTTAATTTAAGTGATGAAGTGATTTGGCTCAGATTTTCTATTAACTCTTGCGTCTCAAGCAATTTATTACTAAGACGTTCTACATTATTATTTAAAGTATGAATTCCATCAGTAAGAATATTAATTGTCTCAAATACTTCTTGTAATTTACTAAGAGCCATTTTCAAATGATTTTCAAACTGTTTATCTGGAAGAACGTTTGATAAATGGCGTATACAATTAATTATTGCAACTTGATGTTCTTGTGGCAAATAGTGTACTTCCATTTCAGAACGTTTTACCTGAAGAACAAGGAAAAAAATTTAGAAAGTATAAGAAAATTATTTATCTTAATATACTCTATTTGAACAACCGTAATCTTTTAGTGGACACCACTCAGTTATTCTCGGACAGTTTGTTATTTTATGCACATTTAAGTGATCTGTGGATGCAAACACTTGATCACAATATTTACACATCGGATTTTGATGGTATTGATCATGGTGATCCTTCAAAAAAAAAACAAAAAGAGATAATCCATCTAAACTTAATATAAATCTTTTGTTCTGTATTGAACATTTATGGAATATAAATGTATTCATCAACTCGACTAATAATAATTGTTACTGAGATAAATCTCAATGATTCTTCACGCAGTATTAGACTAATGGTTTCACTAAAAGTGGATTTTTTTCTTTTATTTTTTTATGTAAACGACAACATGGTTACCATCGTATCCTTTTTCTCAATATTTGCTAATTCATTTGATCTTACTTGATAGAATTTCAACTGACCACTCCAATTACAATGTGAACAAATAATATTCAAGCCACTCATGTCGCATTGAAATCCTTTATCAAACAATACCTAGGAAAATTTTCAAAATACATATTATATATTAAAGTTGAAAGATTTTACTTCTTGTCTAAATGTTTCTTCATGACATTTTGAACATATTACAGTATTTCTGTGAAATAAATCGGTATAGGAATAACAATTAATCTGACTATGGAATAACACTTACCCATTCCAATTTTCTGCACACGATTTACACCAACGACAGCCACAAGAAAGTTGAACAGGATCTCGCAAAATGTATGAGCAAGAACCGCAACAATACACTTTATTGATTCTACTAATGTTTCGTGTATCGAAACCAACACACGGTAACGACCAAGTAGAAAATCCACGTAGTTTTAAATTATTCTGCTTTATTTGTACTTGTTGGGCTTTTTTTTTCAATTATCGATGATAAAGATTTAGAGTCGAAAGATTCTGGTGAATTGAAAACACGAGATTCAAAATCGTTTTGAATACGGTTTTTCACTTCTGTCTTCAAACAAAATATAAATTTGGAAGAAGTTTCACTTAACTTTTGTTTAGCATGTAGCATTTCATTCTCTGAATCAAAATACACAGTAACATGTTTCAGTTGGACAAGTTGTAATAGACTAGATTGAAGAAATTGATCGATATGCCGACTAGGTACATAGATACAAAACGAATCGTAATTTTTGTAAAATTTAAAACCATAATCGATCAATTCTTCTATGTCGTAAAACGTTTCGACTTCAGAATTTGTGACATGAATATCAACATCTGCTTCTCTACAAAGTAAAGTACAGCAAGTATCTTGATACATTTTTTCTTCAAGCTTGCTTCTAAGACGATTTGTTACACGTAACAGGAGATGTTCTAATACAATAGCTATTTATGCAGCTATCATGATTCACATTTTTTAGTATGAGATAGTATTTGTATATCTAAAACAAGAGATACGCTATTCAGCTGGATATGTTATATTAAGAAAAAAAAACAGCTTATTTCAGTGTGGCATGATTTCTTATTTGAGCTTAAATTCCAATAAATAAAGCTATTTAGATACTTCAACAAGATATCATTATGAAAAGTTTACACCTTCGCTAAATTTTCTGCAAATGTGTAGATATCGATTGAACGCTGGTAGTTCTTGTTAGCAGCCTGCATTGATTCTGCATTGTCCCGTTGGCGATCGGCAGTCTCTTCACAGAATAAAGCGATATCCATCAGAAGTTTGAGCAACAGTCGAAGAGGGTCATCAAAGACACCATTTAGTTTGGAGTAATTTCGCGCCAATCTTTTCTGACACTTCATTGTCTCTGTCTCACATCGAAGATACACCGCACACACATTTCTATAATTATGTATGCGATCAACTAAGCATTTAGTGTTCTGTACACAGTTAAGTATGATGAAATGAGTGACTGAATCATCTGGATTCATACTTTGTAACAAGAACGATTCATTTAGCAGCTCAGTTACATCAATCTCCACACTCGAGAAGAAACGAGACACAAATGTTGGTAGCAATGACACTGATATGTTGGCAGTAAATATGGTAACTCTGATTCGAGTAGAAGACACTGAAAATGACAGAAACATTATCAATGTTATTAAAATTAGATAAAAATCGCCGGTGTACCGTCGGTAGTGACAAAAAATCGCTAATATAACAGCATTTAATTGACGGTAGTTTGATGCTTAAATGGTCGGCTATTCTCTGACCGCCATTCTACTACGGTATTCCAATGGTTGTTCTCTGACCGACAATCTACTGCTGCTATAGCATCGATTCTTGTGAGTACCGCGATATACCGGCTGTAGTGTAAAGAAGCATGCAACACAAGTGTTTAGTTGAAGAAACTAAACTAATATAAAGAAATAACCCTATGAAGAGATCCTACCATTAGTTTAACTTTTTCAGTTCGCTCTCGTTGCAAAAAGACATACTTATGTGACAAAATTCGTGTTGCGAATGTCGATCAGGTTGGAGAGTAATAAATTGCAGAAACTGGAACCAATTTTGGGAAGAAGCCTCGCCAACCGGATTCTGCACTGTTTCATGAAGTGTAAACTGTCGTCGTAGTTGATCTAGATCTTTATCTAGATTTGTAGTCATTTTGTGAAATACGATCTGAAAGGAATGTTGAAGTGTTTAGGGGTAGAAATTTAGAGTCTCCCCTTCCCCCACAGACCGTGACAGACAGGCTTGAGAGTGTGGGTGTGGAAGATGCGATGACTGAATGTCCATCACTTCTCTGCCCACTCACACCCACACCCGTGTTGCGAAAGCAAGTGTCCAAGGTACAACTATCGTTGGAGGGCAAGTGTCCTGGGAGCAACTGTCGCGGGAAGCATCTTTCATGGAATCGTCATCGTCTGACTTCTTCCATGTGCAAGATCTGGAAGGACCCAATAATATGTGATTAAAGAATTTGGAATAGATTAATAGGGTCTTTCCGAAAAAGTAGAGTTCGGAGTCCGACAAAAACTAAGTCGGGTCCGATCGTTTTTTTTCACGAAAAACGTTGGCTTCTGGAGTAATCTAATCTTTTCCATGAGAACCCACAAGCCGAATTGAAGCACTTGGGTGAGACTGAGCTATTATTCCCAATGGGATTCTATTTTAGAAGGCTTAGCGAATACTATCACATAATAAAAACATAAAACAGAAGTATCTGATTGAACTCTATCATCTCAAAAAAAATTACATATATACCATATAGATAAATCAATAGGAAATATTTGAAAACCTATGAATTACCAATATCCAGAGAGAGAGACCATCGTGTTTTGTATCCAAAGAGTTAGAAGAGTCTTTTGGAATTTTGTTATCCATTGGTGAATGTCTAAAAAGCAATAAGAATGCAGATCTAAGGTGAGCACCATCCCAGAGGAATAATGTAAGCTAGCTTCACGTGAAAGATTTCGGAAAAGGCAGCCAGATGGACGCCAAAGTATGATATCCGGATTTTCCCACTTCTAGCGGTAAATTGCCATACCCGAACAGAGCCGATCGCGGGACACGATTATCATAATACTGCTTCTAGATTCCTACCGTTTTCTAGTGTGAAACGACATCTTTATAGCGTATTCCAATCGAATAATTATGGGCTTGAACATCAAAATCATTGAGCTAGAGTCTAATGCTTAGCACATGTAAAAGATACATAATGTATCACCTCTCTTGACTATAGATGTGCAGAGTTATCTTACTTTATTAGGCAGGCTAGAGGAAGAGTAATTATGTTGCTGAGTACAGAAAAGGCTTACCTTGCAGATCTCTACTGTTAACTGATGCGACTCGTAAGAACGATGGCATATTATATTTCTCTCCAACTCTATAATGTTTGTGTTGGAAATTTCCAAGTAAGAACGAAAAACAAACAATGAAAACATCTTTATTCTGTCAGCAATCCTTTTCTGTTCACTCATTTTTGTTTACATTTCGCCTATGCTCCTTTGATTGTGATTAAATAAAAGTTTTGTTATTCCTATGGTGACACATTAAGAAGCAAACAAACAAACCAACGAAAAACAAAAAAAGAATGCTTTTAAATTTCATTTGCCGTTTTGCGACGCAAGAATAGTAGTTGGAAAGTATTCGCAGAAGAAGTATTAGTAAAGTATGCTCCAACCCACTCCAAGTGCCGTTTGACTAGAACATATTATCGATCGATAGACTTTTGAATTCTCCATTCATGATACCATACACCAAGCTATTTTCTCTAAACGCCGTTTGATAAAAAAAAGTCAAATAACATTTCGAAGGGTCCATTTCAAACCCACACCAACCCACACCAACCCACTATCACCCATCCTCACTCAAATTTCAACGAGAAAAATAATTTTCACAACAAAACAGTTCCCGAAGTTATTCTTCGATATAACTGAACTTATTCGACTTAGAATTTAGAGAGGAGCCGCCAGAAGACAACTCTATCTAATTTATCGCCTGTCAGAGGAAAATATGTTTTTTTTTATGTAATTTTCTCAAATGAAATGTCTAGTCAAATCCAAAATATTAGGCCATTTGGTTTCACCTGTAAAAACATCGACTGAAACAAGTATAAATGGTCCACGTTGGCTTCTAAAAATGACTATCTTAAGGGTTGTCCAGTATTTTGATATTATCTTACACATAACTTGGTCGTTTAAAGTAACGAACAATCTCGCATACATATTTATCTTATTTAAATGACTATCAACCAGAGTAAAAAAAAAGTGTCATAGGTCAAAAACTCAAGGAATATATCCTTTCGACATAGCCATATTTCGGACTTTTCTTGCGTGGTGTTAGCGGATCTACAGTTTGTTTGTTTTTTACTAGACATAGATTTTTTTCCCTCGACATGGAGATGAAATCAGTTCTTCGGTTATCAAAGATATTGTATGTCTTCTAGGAGTAAGATAAATGATCATTATATAGGGTAGATCACCGTTTGGCCCAGAAAATGATGCCGTAAACGGCACAAACGTCGAAAAACGGTGTCGTAGTTCACCATACCAGGAAACGCCGGCAATCGTGGAGAAAAGATGGTCGTTTTCTAGCAAGAACCAATGGGTAATGAAAATGTTGACTATTCGTTGAATATGGACATAAGTCTAGTAAGCCTTGCTGACGTTCGCTCCCGACTTTGTGTTGAGTCTCCAATTCGGTTCTTTATCGAATAATACTTTTTTCAAAGCAATTTCATCGGGCAAAAATTGTCGGTTGGGGCCGAAAAACGAGATTTTCCGCCTCTTTCTGCCAGTATACCGTGCGATGTATGTAGAAGCTTTCGGGAACCTTGTTCACGGTTAACAGAACTCATTGGAGTCCTTGGAAGCTATATGCTCTGAATCACCATATTGCATATGGCAGGATATAATGATACTCACAGTAATAGAGTCGACAGTAATGATTTTTGTCGGTAAGTTTTGCATTGGATGATTATTGACGGTTCGAGACCACAAGAAAAAGAAGTTAAGGAGTCGAAAAAATAAACTTGGTTCTGGACACCTCTACTTGCGATAGGCATCCTTTTAAAGGTACACATGACATTGTATAATCAATGCATTATTTGGTCCAAGTCACTAGGCGAATATTTTCTAAAAGAAATGCAAAATCTACTGCTAATTTAATCTATCTCAGTGACCATCACAAGACAATCAACAGACTCATCAAGGAGTTGAAGTCAAAAGCTTAGAACTTGGGCCTAAATCCCATTTTTTGTCCAATGACCTCCTAAAAGAGATCGTCATTCCGTCAAGCATCAAATTCTGCATCGAATCCAGTCAACTACAGACCCAACCCAACCCAAGTCCAGAAGTAAATATCAAAAAGGCTCAGTCGGATTCACTGCTAACTTTCCCTACGTCCATTGTACGTCTTTATGTTATATCTACATCATCTACTCTTGATGTTTTACAAATATGGTTGCTTGCATTCTGCTAGCATCTGCAGTCTATCTCTTTAACGCATACATGTAGAACTCTTATTAACTATACCGTATATTCACTGAGAACAGTGTAACAGGTAAATGCTGTATATGTACATGTGAACAAGTAGTTAGAAAGAATCGGAATTGCAAGACGTACTATATGCACCTAGAACAAAGTTGTTGTTTTGTTTCTCGACTGTTCTATTTGTGTTCACTTGTCTCTTTTACAAATTTCTGAATTTGTGCATATGATGACCGTATACGGCAAACTGCGTAGAGCCTTCGTATATCTCCGGTATCCTCCGTCAACGGTCGTTTACGGAGGTGCATATTTTGCCTTGATATATTTTATGAATCCAACTCTTTCAATGTGTCGCCATTCATTCTAATTTATCGCTTGCTCAGTATGGCAAGCACAATATGATCTAGATTTCTACGCACAGACATGCAATAATTTATATGAATTCTAATGCTACCAAATGTTTCATTGTTATTTTTTTATATAAATTATTAGCGAATGATTTCCAAGGCTCACGTCAGCAATTATTACAATATAATTTTTATTTCATGAATTCATTCACATACACTTAATTATTCACTATAAATGACAAGTTCAAAAATTCTTTTCTATAAATTTTAGATTTTCACTCATGAACTAGTTAAATACCATTGTCTATTGTATTATTTCTCTTTATCTATCGTATTGTATGTGTTTCTCAATAATCAATAACCATTCACCAAGGTTAATGTTAAATCAACAAGATAAATTGATTTTCCATGATAAAGATAATCCAAACGCATACAAGAATCGTATTTGGTATCACGCCAGATAATCAATTAATGAACGAAAATCATATAACTATTTAAAAAAAATGTTAAGATTTTAGATGTATTTAACAAACATAAAAAATTGAATAATACTTACATCAGATAGATGTGGTTCAGCAATATAAATATCAGTTCCTTGTGTATGACTTATATTCTGAAAATAAATTTTCTTTTATACATCATCAATTTTTATATATGTAAAAGTTCGAACATATGCAACAGTCAATTGAAAGTGAAGTTTTCATTCAATATAAACGGCTGTCAGAAGAAAAAATAATATGAATGTGTTTATTGATGCGATGATATGTAGATTTTTAAAAAAATGCGTTTGATTTTTTTCTCATGCTCATTTCTTATAAATGAAAGAAGAAGACATACGTTTTTATAGTTTATAAATTTTGAACAAAAACGAATTGATTCACAATATATGAATGATTGTTTATTTTATTACAATTTTGATTTTCAAAAGTCCTTTTTTCTTTCTCTCCGTCTGGTTTACTACATTCTATGGAAACAAAAAATGTTAATAGGAATATTTCCATTTGTCGATATGTGAATTTCTCATTCTATCAGCGTAACATATGTCCCTGTTAAAAGAGTTTTTTTGCCGAAAAAATGGCTTTCACGAAAAATAGGTATTATAAATATACTAAAGTTGCCCTAGCTTCCACTAAAGAACGAGATATAATGTTGAAATTGCTTTTTTTAAAAAAACAATTATTATATCAGTTATCTAGTATATTATAATTAGATCGGCGATTTGAAAAATACTTTTTCGGAACCGTTGGTTTCTAATACTTGTTTTCTAATTCATCTATTTTGACTACAACTTCTGATAGAAAAAAATAAAACTGATCCATGCTTGATATAAACAATCAACAAGAACTATATTCTTAATAAGGAAAAAAAAACATGTTATCTTTGACATCATGTTCTAGGAATTAATATATCTCTAATCTGAGAACTGCCAATGAAAGTGAATAAGACATAGAACAAAGTTCTTCGATTATCTTCTTGATTACTAAAAGTGTTCGTTTACTTTCTGATTCGTTAATTTATGTAAACATTAACATCTAGGACAAATTAATAATGTTGATAATCAACAGAGGAAAAAGAAAAATAACAATATGTATAAGTAATCATCTATACAAAAAGACAAAGACATCTGTTTCATATATAATAATAAGTTGTCTATAAAAAAAAAGAAAAACTAATCTTATTATTTCTTGGGACATTTATCAAATGACATCTTTTCATATATTTAAAAGTATTTTTAATTCATCATTTGAATTCTATGGTCTATCTGAATGGTTATTAGAAATAATGCCGGATAATGTTGATATCAATCGTTGTAAAATAAATCGATCACATCATGGTTGGATATTTCGAAGACATAATGCTCGTTCAAAATTTATTTGTATGAATTGTATGAAATCTCAAATACAATTACATAAAGAAAAACTAAAAATCAATACATGGACTTCAGTTTATACAACAATACTTTTTCGTGCACGATTAGATAAATCATTCAATGGTCAAAATATTGGTCGAATACAAATGAGAATATTTGAACAAGGTTGTCATACATGTAATATTTATAGTATAGGTATTCTTGATGAAAATGAAATAAAACGAACATTTTATTGGTTATATATATGGATATTAGAAACATTTTATAATGTTAAATTTATTGATAATGAACTCGAAGATATATGTATTCAATCAAAAGGTTATAATCGACGACAATTACCACATGATTCAAGTCGATGTGATGGATGTCGAGCTGGTTGGTGTAAATATTTGTATCGATGTAAAAACAAAAATAGTCTTAAAAGACATACAGTTATGTCTATATAAAAATAAATTCTTCTATTTTTTGCTTAAAATAAAAAAATGATTGAAAATCATTTTATATATTGTAAACTGTTTTACTAATACTAAAAGGTTTTCTAACTATAAAAAAAATTAAGAAATTTTTATCAATCCTATAAGAACTTCTGAAGTACCATTTAAAAAAGTCTATCTTGCCCTTTTTTCTATGTTTTGTTACTAAAATATTTGTTCAATCGCATTTTATATGCCAGCAACCAATCATTGTGATATTTCTTCATCCATAGAAGACTACAGGATAAAATTTTAGAAATAAATGACTAAGAAGCCTTTCGTTACTTGAATATGAGCTATAAGATGATTGTTTCGAAATAGGAGAAATCGGAGATATTCAAGATCTAGAGTATATGTGTTTACGCATGTCTTCGCGGCGTCCATATCAGACGCGATGCCCTTTATGTGTGATTGCGTGTCCATGCAATATTTCCTATACATCCTAAATCTCTATAATTTCTATCTCTCCTGTGCTGGTACTTAATTTGATTTTCCGACGATACTCGTAGAAGACATCATATGAACAACCTCAAAGATGTAAACTCTAAAGTGACGGAAAAAAATTAGAAACAACGATTTTTTTGATTTTTTTCATAATTTTAAGCACATAGCTCCAATCTAAATAGTGATCTTAATAGCCAATGGAATTTTCCATCCAATACATTTTATAGCAAGATTTCACAGATCAACAATGATGGCAAGGCTTCTAAAAAATCGAACACGATATTTTTCAGGTTCTAGAAGGCTTTGTCGGAGCTATTTTTGAACGGTGCCATCTTAAGGAGCACAAAATTCTGAGCAAAATGAGGGGTCGCCAAGCTTTCTACGAACTTCTCATAAAAAGTTATAAGCATCACAAAAATCATGAAAAAGACATTTTTAGTTGATTTTTAAAAAAATTTCGTTTTTTCATGATTTTTGTGATTTTTATAAGTTTTTATGAGAAGGTCGTAGAAAACTCGGCGATCCCTCATTTTGCTCAGAATTTTGTGCTCTTTAAGATGGCACCGTTCAAAAACAGCTCTGACAAAGTCTTCTAGAATCTGAAAAATACTGTGTTCGGTTATTTAGGAGCCTTACCATCATTGTTGATCTGTGAAATCTTGCTATAAAGTGTATTGGATAGAAAACTCCATTGGCTATTAAAATCACTATTTGGATTGGAGTTATGTGTTTGACATTATAAAAAAAACCAAAAAAAATCGTTGCTTCTAAACTTTTATTTCATTACTTTATTTCTAAATAATTTGAACTTCCTAATCTAATCCAAGCGTAAAGATATACACTTCACTCCTATATACTTGTCATATTACAATCTGTTTTCTATGCTTATTTCTCAAAGAACTCATTTGAATTTCTTGGAAATAGAAATTTAGTAAATCATTTTTGTCATGAATCGAAATTGTCAGTTATCCTAGGTGATATGCACTCTATCATCGATAGAAATATCACAACGATTGATTGTTGGCATATAAAATGCAATTGAACGAATATTTTGATAACAAAACAAGAAAATTTCAGAGCATACTAAACTTTAAAAAAGTCAACGAATTTTGACACGTTACTCTATCGTTAATGTCTAAGTCTCTCAGAAACCTGCTCTTAAAGATTAATTTGAAAACATCAGATAAATTCTATACAAGCGCTTTATTAGAAATGATCTAAGTCCGCGTTTTTTGTTGAAATTTTTTCTATGATAATTATAATTTTCTTTATAATAATTTTATTTTCAAATATTCATGGACATTGTCTTATATTTAATTATCATGATAAAAATGATAGCATTAATCAATGTGAATTACATCAATCAAATCATTATGGTTATTCACAATGTTTAAGATGTTATATGAATGAACCAATGATATCATTAGAAAATATTACAATAGAATTACAATGTTCACCAATATTAAATCTTCATTGTATAGATTTATATTTTAATGATACTCAATCGTATGAAAATTTTTCTTTACAAAATATTGATTTTATTAATAAATTATTTGATAAAAATCATGATATCCGTCCAGAAGAACGAAATTCTCTTAGTATTCATATTAAATATGATATACTTGATAAATTATCATTTGATACATTTCGATCATTTAATAATGTAAAAAATCGAAATTATCATGGATTACAATTCGAATTAAACAATCGTCATGATCAATTAACACTCAAAATTAATCGTGATATACAAAATATGACATTATATGCATTACAAATAAGCATTTATTGTGGTTTCAAAGGTTTATATCAATATAATTATGTACCTGGATCTGAACGTCTTTTACCAGTAGAATCACTTACATGTGAAATTCCAATAACTTTCTCTACTATTACATCTAACATGTTTACATATATGACTAATGTAACATTCAGTACTATTCTCTTATCAACAATATCGACAAAAAATATTCGAAACAAGCTCGTAGTTTTTTTAAGTTTAATTGGAAGTGGAAGTTTTATATTTTGTTGTATATTTGTTAGTTGTTTATACATATTGTGTAAACGAAATAATCAAAAATATGATAGAAATATTGAACAAAGAACAAGTATAACATCTAGTATAACTGATTCAATATCAAGTAATAGAAGTATTGATTAGAAATTTCTTTTTTTTGTTTTTTTTGTTTTAATAATAAATAGAATAAAGTAAACAAGAAAAATATTTACACAAATTACAATCAATTGATCGAATCATTTTTCAGTAATTAAAAGATATTATTCGTGTAACTATTGAGTTTAGAATACCTATCTTCTCAGATTATTTTAGCAGGACAATCAAAAAAGTATACTATTTAGTTTCTTTCATAAACAGCAACAAAAAGAAAAGAGATCATCTCAAATTCTACAACAAAGTAAGTAAATCTTTCTGAAATTTGTAATCAAGAAAATTTTTCGAAATAAAAATCTAGGTAACTCTGGACTCCTGTCCATCAAATTTTTTCTTTACATATCATCTTTTATCTTTCGAAACAAACATCATTGAAATATAATTCCTGCGAGCATGACCAACTTTATGGACAAGATTATTGTCGAAACAATTTGCTAGTCATATGATTATCAATCAACAGCAAGCTCGAATGAGTTAGATGGTTGTTTTTCGAATAGAACTTCATGTCAGATATATACTTCTTCTATAAATAACTTCTGATATCAGTATCATTCGGAAAGCTATCATTGCATTTACAGCTCCGTTCATTTGATCAGAAAACTATCTTAAAGGATATTCTCTCCCATTTCCGGAGTTTTAGGGGAACGACTGATGCGATCTTTTATGAGATAATAGGGCTACAACGGCTTCAATTTCTTTGAGATGCTTCCTTTGATCGAGCTGCTTGATGCGGTGTATCTTTTTATTTTTTGTTCTTTGAGTAAAAAAGTCAAAATATGGAAGGTATCCTAAACGATGTATGGTTTTTCTTGTGAATTTTGAAACAAAAAAACATTGCCCATCCCAAATCCTGTAAAGTGATGGAAAAAAGTTTAGAAAGAACGATTTTTTTGGTTTTTTTAATAACGTTAAGCATGCAGCTCCAATCCAAATAATGATTTTAATAGCCAATGGAATTTTCTGTCCAATACACTTTATAGCAAGATTTCACAGATGAACAATCATGGCAAGGCTATTAAAAAATCGAACACAATATTTTTCAGATTCTAGAACACTTTGCCAAAGCTATTTTTGTACGGTGCCATCTTAAGGAGCACAAAATTCTGAGCAAAATGAGGGATCGCCGAGTTTTCTACGACCTTCTCATAAAAACTTATAAACATCACAAAAATCATGAAAAAAGGCATTTTTAGTTGATTTTTAAAAAAATTTCGTTTTTTCATGAGTTTTATAAGTTTTTATGAGAAGGTCGTAGAAAACTCGGCGATCCCTCATTTTGCTCAGAATTCTGCGCTCCTTAAGATGGCACCGTTCAACAACAGCTCTGGCAAAGTCTTCTAGAATCTGAAAAACACTGTGTTCGATTTTTTAGGAGCCTTGCCATGATTGTTGATCTATGAAATCTTGCTATAAAGTGTATTGGATAGAGAACCCCATTAGCTATTAAAATCACTATTTAGATTGGAGCTACGTACTTAACATTATGAAAAAACCAAAAAAGTCGTTCTTTCTAAACTTTTTTCCAGCACTTTATAGTATATATGAAAAAATTTTCAACTCGATGGAATTTACTAGGCTGTAGAAATCGATGGTGTTCTTACACTTTTTTTTTTTCATGAAAAAGTTGATTTGAAGAAAAAAACGCGCTGAGTAGTTTTTTTTCATGAGTGGATTTTGAATGAAATTTTTTCTTTTCCTTCTTTATTTTTCATATATTCATTGTGATTGTCTCGAATTTATTAATAATCAATCAATAAATGAATGTTTTATTCAACAAACTATAAATTATGATTTAAATGTACATCATTATTATTCTGAATGTTTACAATGTAAAATTCAAACAATAATTCAACCTGAAAATATAAAATTTGAAGAAAATAATCAATGTTTAATAATTGAACTTCAATGTATTCAATTAATATTTAATAATAAAGAAATATTTGAAGATTTTTTTCATAATTATCAACAATTTATATATGATTTATTTAATAAAAATAATGGTACAGATCAAAATACTTTACATATTATAATAAAAGAAAATACAATTGAAGAAATCAATCTTGAATATATTGAAAATATATTTCAATTAAAATATCAAAGTTATCGTGTACTTTTTTTTGAATTACATATAATAAAAAATCAAAATATTAAAATAAATCAAAATCTTCTTTATATAAAACGTTTATCAATTAAAATAATTCTTATATGTAATGATGAAATAAAATCAATACAAACTATTTATATGATTCATAATCATAAAATAACTTTAGAAAGTCAACAAGATTTATGTTTACCTATATTTATTCCATCAACAATTACAATATCACCAATAATAATTACTGAAACATCTTCAAATATATTATTATCTATATCACATAAAAAATCAAAATCTATAATTCGAATTATTATTCTATTAACTAGTTGTTTATTATGTTTATTAATTTTATTTATAATCTGTTGTTTTAAATATAGAAGATATTATCGTTCAAAATTATCAAGAAAAACTGAAACAACTAGTGAACTTTCAATTAGTCAAGATACAAGTGTAGAAACACCATTATCATTAAATGATAAACCTAAATTAAAACAACCAATAAGTCGAATGCGTGCTATACAAATATTTGAGGATGATATTTAATAGAAAATCGATTTTAATGAAATCTTTTTTTTTTCCATTTTATGAATTGAAAAGAATAAAAGCAAAAAATGTTTAGTTTTTTTTTTCTTTTATTATTTTCATGATAAAGAATGAAAATCTTATTTGAAGATAATAAAAACGAAAAAAAAAAAAGAAGAGCAAGAGAAGATATTAATTATCTTGTATAAATATATATTATATATTAATGGTTTATGAGAGATAAATTAAAAAGAAAAAGAAAAATAACCGAAAGAACGCTAGTATGTCTGAAAAAGAAAATAGTTCATTATTTTATATATACACAACGTTCAATTTATTTTGTTAATCTAAGCAAAATGATTCTCAATATGTTCTTTCTTATTTTCAAGTGTTAAATGTTTAGGAAATTCCCAATAACACATTGGACATTCACGTATTTCTTCATTAACATCGGATTTTTCTGATTGTGATATTATTGTTTTATTTTCTTCTTCATGAATATTTTGTTGTTGATCTTGTTGTTGAAGTTCATATGAATTACGAAGAAGATTAACTAATGCTTCTTCATTAAGACCAGTTTCATTAGATAATGTTGTTGGATTTGATTTTAATATAGAAGAATTTTGTCGATTTGTTTTACCAATCATACGTTCAAGTGCTGCATATTTACGATAAAGAGCTTTATATTCATCGGCACCAGCTAATAATCTTTCAGTTAAATCTTGAACTTTACGTTCTAAATCACCCTAAGAAAAATACAAACATAGTTGAATATAAAGATGAATAAGAAAGAAAATGCTAAGACGTATAATGCTCTTGAATGGAATTTCAAATATGGGTAATTTTATTCGTTAGCAACGTGATACAAAAAGGACAAGGATTTTCATTGAGTGTATTAAGTCCTACGAGTTCAAACAGTACTTTTGTAGAGAGCTCTTCAAACTACAAAACCTGTACATAAAGTTTTTCCTGAACATAGTTAAGTTTTATAGAAAATTGAGTTTATTTGTTGTTAGTGACGACTACGAAAAGTCGTTCTTTGTAATCGCAAGATAATATAGCAGCGAATCCACGAAAACGTGAACCCGGGCCTGAAAAAAAATTAAAAATTTGGGTCCGAACCCGGGGTTTTTTTTTCGTCAATACTCAGCACCCTTTGTATACATGAACAACTAAATGAGTTATTTATTCGCTACTCACAGAAAAAAAACTCAACATACAGTTATATCTTGTTGATGTATTTCTCATCTGGGGAGCACTGGATCAACAAAAACATGTAACCGGGCTCGGGTCTGGAAGGATTCGCAGCTCCCTATGGTCATGAATAGAACCCAGTCGAGTCCGGGATCAACTCGATGGACTGTATTCACGTCCAAGTTTTGCTCGTATAGAAGAGAATGCATTGTGAAAGATAAAAATCGTTTTCCTCGAATGATGTCTTTGGTACAGTTGAAGAATCAAAAATATGATTATTTACTTACAACAAATTCTTTATAGACTGCAAATTGTTTTTTAACTTCAATTTCACTTTTTTGATGTTTAACACAACGTTTTTCAATTTCATTAAATGAATTTTTTAAAATCATATAATCATTTTGAATTTCTTTCATTTGTTCTAATTCATTTTGAAGTTTTTCTAATTCATTTTGTTTCTAAATATAAAAAAAAGAAATTTCATTCGAATAAAAACAAAAAAAAAAGAAATTTTATTTTAAATTTTACTTGTTCATTATCAAAACGATGTTTTTCATTTAAATCATTTATTTGTTGTTGTAATTCATTTGTTAATTGTTTATCTTGTTTATTCAATGTTAATAAAAATGTATTATCAGTTTTAATAGAATTTAATTCTTCTTTTAATAAAATATTTGCTGTTTCTAATGCATGTATTTGATTTTCTTGTTGTGATGCTTGTTTTGTATATGCATTTATTTGTCCTTGCATTGATATTTGATATTTTTCTGTTGTTAAACGTAAATCACGTAATTGTTGTTCTAATTGTAATTGATATTGATTTGCTGATTTTAATAATTCATTTGATTCTAATAAACGTTTATCATAATCAATTATTTTTATTACTTGTTCTTCATTTAATTTTGTTGTTATTAATAATTGTGAACGTAATTTATTTGTTTCATCAGTTAATTGTATATTTAAATCTTCAAATGTACGACAACGTTCAGCAAATTGTAATGATTCAGTTTGATATTGATTACATAATGAACGACATGCATCATATTCTTTACGTAATTTAGCTTCTAAACGTTGACGTGATGATAATTCATCAATAGTTGCCTTATGAGTTGTAGCAAGAGTCTTAGTAAAAAAAAAAAACAAATAAGATAATTGAATAATTATTCATTTTTTTTTTTAAATATTTAATTATTTACTTACTTGCATATCATTTTTAACTTTATTAATATATTCATTTGATTTTAAATCTAATAAATCAAGTTTAGCTTTACATTCATCTTTTTGTTGTTCTAAACGTCGATTTATTTCTAATAATTGACGATTTTCTTGACGTAATTTTTCTTCAATTAACATTCGTTTTGTATGTATAATAACAAGATCATCATTATCATAATCTTGTAATGAAATAAAACCATCATTATTTGTTTGCATAGATTTTTTTTCTATTGATGTTTCTAATAATGTACTTGATAATAAATCAATATCATCAATTGAACAATTTAATTGAAATGGAATTGATGAACCAAGACATTTACGTTTTTCATTAATATAACAAAATTGATAAAATTCATCATCGGTTACAGGTAATGATGATGATGGAAATGTTGCTGTTCCATGACGTGTTGATGAATTCAATTGCATAGGTGCATATGCTAAACATTCTTGAATATTTGTTGAACCAACCTAATAAACAAAAAAAAAAAAGAAATATGTAATTTAGTTTGAATACAAAAACAAATAAAACTTACACGTAATAGACCAATTTGATCATCATTTGAATTAACCTTAATATCATTTAAAATTGTAAAATAAGCTGTAACATCTTCGCCTTTGACGTAATGATCAGCAACATTCTCGAATACAACTTGATCATGTTGTTGTCGTTCATGATTACCATCAAATGGTAAACCTAAATCGGAATTTTTCCTTGATTGAACATTTATTTCGGACATTATTGTATTTATTTGCAACCAAAAAAAAAAATAGATCTAAAAACAAAATTAAATACATGGCATAGTATATGTGTAAGGTAAATATTAACATGAAGAAAAAGGATCACATTCCTCGCGTTATGTGCAATAAATGAAATGAGTAAATCGACCGAAATAAAACGACGCATATATCGATAATAATTTTCTATGACGTTTTAGTGTTTAACGAGATATGAATAATCCCAAATATGAATTTATTGATTTATTTTAAAAAAAAAATCAAAGACTTAAAATGAAAATAGACCATATGACTTATTATTTATTTTTTTTTGTGTATTACGAAAGAATTTTTGTTATCAATTCAACATATGTGACCTCTATTGGAAGATTTTTTTTTCATCATAATTGAGGTTTTGATGTAATATTAGAAAATGGCAAGAAAAATAGAACAGAGTATTTATTTATTTATTCATCCTTAAATACTCTTCTTCTTCTCGTTTCTTTCTACTGATATAAAAAAAAAGAACTAATTAAACTCAAACATGGTATGAATAAAAAGACAAAAAAAGTTAATAATTGATTTATGTTTTATTTATTCAGGGGAACATGACATCAATTCCTGTTGAGCTTTGTGCTACATGTAAAATATTTCTCTATATTTTTTTTTTTATTTGATCAGTAATTCGAGTATTATTTCTAGTTGATGCGGATGAAATACGTCGTTTGGGTAAACGTTTTAAAAAATTAGATATTGATGGAAGTGGTTCATTGAGCATACAAGAATTTATGTCTATACCTGAATTACAACAAAATCCACTTGTACAACGTGTTATTGATATTTTTGATACTGATGGAAATGGAGAAATTGATTTTAAAGGTAGATTTTTTTGTTTTGTCTCGTGACAATTATTTTCAAGGTTAATTTAAAAAAAAACAAAATTTTTTTTTAGAATTCATTGGTGGTATTTCACAATTTAGTGTTAAAGGAGATAAAGAATCAAAATTAAGATGTATGTATTTAAATATTAGAGAATTAAATTAAATATTTCAATTTTTATTTTTAGTTGCTTTCAAAATCTATGATATGGATAAAGATGGTTTTATATCTAATGGTATGTAAATAAGTTTTTGTCAAGATGCAACAAATTATTTTTTTTTTTGTTTTCTGGATCAGAAGAGATATTAATCAAGATTGAGAACAACAAGAATTAATTATGAGAAATTCATTTTTATACCTATAGTATAGAACCATGGGTATTGATTCAGATCATTTAAATAATTCTGTATCTTTTCGAGTTCTACGACAACTTTGAAATAGTTCTGGTCACAGCGTTTAAATGATCCTTTCGGATAAGTGAGCCTCAATAGGTCCACTTATCTGAAAAAATCCTTTAAACGTTGTGATCGGAACTTTTGTTATGCCCTAAGTAGATTTTGTGAGATACGATCTAAAATGAGTGTTGAAGTATACAAGTAGAAATTTGGACTTTCTCCCGACAGATGTGACAGATGTTGTTTAAAGGTCGTATATCAATAATATCTCGCACTACTTCCTTATTGCATTTATCGAGCATTCAGTAAAGCTTTTTAACAAACAAGGTCTGTTTGGTATTGCCACAAATCGACTCCATCTTTGTTAACAAGTGAAAATAAAAAATGATGTTTGTATTAATACAAATTTGGTTGAGTGGAGTAAGAGATTAGTTTAGAGTAGAGGTAATGGTTCGATCCTATCTGTTATCATTTTAACAAATTATAGCTCTTAATTCGAACTAGTCTGATTTCTAGTGCAGACTCGTTTTGCAATGTGAGCTAAAATTAATTATTTGTGTTCCTATCAAACAGATGAATTCTTTTCAATAAATGAAATTGTCTGAACTTGAACATGAACAATGAATTTTTTTTTTTCTTCAGGTGAATTATTTCAAGTATTGAAAATGATGGTTGGTTCAAATTTGAAAGATTCACAATTACAACAAATTGTTGATAAAGTAATATTGAAGAATTTTTGCATTTATGAAATAATTTTGTTTTGATATTTTCTTTTTTCAATAGACAATTATCAATGCCGATAAAGATGGTGATGGTAAAATTAGTTTTGATGAATTTTGTGCCGTAAGTTATTTATTTAAATATAATTATTCTTTGTAAAAATGTTAATTCTTTTCTTCTTCTTCTTCGTGGGACAAATCTTTTTCTCCTTCTGCTTCTTCTAGTTTATCCCTACATATGAACTCAATATAAGTCTACCCAGTAATATCAAAATATAGGTTTTCTTATGGGTAAATTTTTTTTTTTTTATATTGTCAATGTCTTAGCTATGATTATTGTGATAGTTGTGTTTTTTGTGAAAACGTATTATAAATGTCAATCATAGAAATATGTTTGAATAATAAAAGAAAAAATATATTTCTTTTTAGTGTGTTGGCGATTCATTAATTGACGATATTCAAAAGAAAATGACAGTAGCCGTATAATAATACAAACAAAGACAATTAGATTTAACCTTTCTATTTAATTACCTGAACAAACATATGCAAACATCATGCTCAGTGCACACTCATAAATGTTTCGTTTTTTTCTTTTTTGTGTTCTATTCTAATTCCTAATTGTATACTCGTATATATTTCATACTGATATTCTTCAATGGATTTTCGTGTGCTATATCCTTCTTACAATTGTATTCGTTGAATCTCTCTATTATATTTTTGTTTGTTGTATCTATTTGTGTGCATATAAGTTTAAGACATTAAACAGTGAGATTGATTTATATTATTATTTTATTGTGTTGTGTATTGTAATGTGTCTTAGTTTTTAGTATATATGAATCTTTTCTTATTGTATTATTTCATTGACAAAATCAAAAAGAACAAGAATCTTATTTTTTTTTGTATTTATTATGAAATCAAAAATCATAGTGTAATACAAATGATGAGCATCATAGAAGTAAGGATTATTGACTATTTGTTATTATGAAGGATTGTTTTAATGAAAGAAACAAATAATTAAATCGTAACACTTTGGAAAAAAAAACATGCTACGTAATCGTTATCTAAGATATACTGATATATCTTCTCCATGACTCATGTTTGTGAAGATGTATATTCAATTGCTAAGGAGATAAATAAATGACAGTATATACAAATCAAATTGTTTGGAGATTCAGCCTGTAAACCTAAAGGTTTCAAAATTTTGATCAGAGCGTGTCATAGTTGAATACATTAAAGCGAAATTTTTTGCATGTATTTTGACAATTTGCTTATAGTAAAGTACACTAATAATATCTGCTAAAAAAAAGAAGTCAAAATTCATATTGTAAATATCTATACAGAAACTATATATCGATGTTTCAATGTTATCTTCTCAACAAGTTCATAGCTGACTGGATAAACAGCCATTGATATAAAACCGAGTATTGGTAAAATACTAGAGCTTGACATTCTAAGTCTACTGAATATCACTCTATGCAAAAATCTCAATGAACTGACTAGAGCCATTAGGCATTTACCGCGACTTCATCTAACGTCATTTTTCCGAATATTTTTTTTTTGAGCTTTTAGCTCAGAGTATATTTTACAACATGAAGTATGGCGATATCGTATGTTAATAACAAAAATTAATTCAAACGCTCATTTCTTAGATTTGCTTAATAATATTATTATAGAGGACTTGAGAAACTATTAGTACATCTCTGCGAAACATTTGAAAGTTAAAAGATATTTCACGAATATTTAAAATAGACATCGGTATATGGTTAAGTTTAAAATTATTTTTTGACGGAAATATACTTTTTCGAGTGGACTGCTGCCTTAATCAATATTTTTATGGGGTCTTTCGTTTAATATAGAAATGATAGTTTACCTTGAGTACCACTGAAAAAAGCAAATTTATATAATGCTGTAAAGGCTTTGCTCATCATATCGATAAAACAAAACTTCTTGGTAATATAAACAAGATCGAAAGCTTAAATGTAAATGTTAAGCACATTCTAATCATATTCAAATTTTTTTTTTCAATGATTCTTTTCATGTTTTTTAATCTTATAAGTACAGTTAATATTATTTCATACTTTCTTTTAAGTATAAAAGTTGAGATTTATGATAAAAAAAAATTTTCTTTATTATTATGAATTTCTTGACCAATCTTAAAATCTACTCATTTTTCTGAACATTTTTCGTTTTAAAACTAAACAATGATCATTTAGTATATATGTTCAGATGCTAAATGAAGAGGTATTATTTCTTTGTTTCGATAGAGAATAGTAAAATGCAAGATTGATTGATAAGTTCGAGCTGTTTTTTTTTTCAATGTGTAATCAAGTAGATGATATAATCAAAGGATGCAAATATCTTATTAAGACGCGGAGAGCTACGAATTCTGGTACGTTCTACCCTTACAAAATTGGCGTAATAGCAAGTGTATTTATAAGTTTGCTTTTCATGGATGAGAACTAGGAATAAATTACGTTGTATTTTTTCATAAGAACTTTTAGAAAAAACGTTATTGTGCATTTAATTTTCCGCTAGAAAATTATATTACAGGGGTCTTAAGACCATTCCATAGCGTCATCTCTCAATAACAAGAACGAAGTCTAGAAGTATCTTTCATGTTAAATATTAAACTGCTTTATAGGTATATCATGAAATGAAATAATGTACTTTCTAATAACAATCGTTACATTTTCTTTAAATATTTTAATTGATTGTCTGTATAATACCGAATTGTGAACAAAAGAAATTCAAAAGAATAACAATTAAAATTTCATATAATAGATAATAGTATATTTATTTGTTGTCGATGATGCTCTAATTTATATTTAATCAATATTTCATGTGATTGATTATTCTTTTAATTTTAGAAAAATTTATTTATCTATTGTATAATTAAAAAACAATTTTGATAATGTGGTATGATGAAGATGAACAACAAAATCAAGGTCCAATGAATGGTAAAATAACAGAAAAAAATCCAAATTATGAAAAAAAGGATAAATGTAATTGTAAAAAAGGATGTTCGAAACGTTCTTGTTCTTGCTTTAAATTTGGTAGTGGATGTAATTCATCATGTAGATGTAGTTCATCTTGTCAAAATATGTTCAATCATCTTGAATATTTCTTTGGTGAAAATAAAAAATATGCTGCTAATCCTTGTTTTTCAAAGTGGCTTGTTAAACATGCTAAAAATGCAGATGGATTGAAAATGATAAATCATGATGAATTACGGCAATACATCATGGAATGTGACTGGTAAACTATTCACTTATTTAAATATTATTTTTTTGCTCTGTTTTTTCTACATTAATATGTATCATGTTTTGAATATTTAGTTTTTCAGACATCATGTCTTATGATGAAGATTTGAATGAATGGACAAAGAAATGGCAAACAATTAACGAAAATGAAAAATTAGCTCATACTCAAAAACTTTTTCAAATGCTTCTATCAGATGATAAAACAATGCATTATTATTCATTTTGTCATCATGATTTATTTCAAGAAAATTGTTATTGGCATTGTGTAGTATGTCAGGAATGTGTGAAATGGAGAGAATGGCATTGTGGTGAATGTAATAAATGTATGTATTTAAGCTTTTTTTTTTTAATAATGATCTTTGCTTGAATATATCAATTTTGTGAATTTCTTCTAGGTACCTATGGTGTTAGTTTGCCATGTGAAGGATGTGGAGGAAGAAGTAAAATGTCTGGTTTCTGTTAGAACATTACACAAGATTTATTAGTTATTTATGTTGAAATAGTTTTATTTTATTTTTCTTGTTAAACAACATTTTCTTGTATTCATAATAATCATGTTTCTTATATCAACGAATAGATTGTGTATAACTGATGCTAGATAAACAATATTTTCTTAATCTAAATTATCGAAAATTCTATACTGCTCCTGTTCGAAATCAGATTCATAAATTTGTCAATCAGTGACTATTGGTATTGTTACTATCTGAAATTATATAGCATTTGATTGATTTTCTAATTTGATCGTTTAGTTTTATCAATACGAGAACTATTCTAGAATATTCATGAATTCAACTGAATCTTTTTCCATTTGTTCAATACTCTTTTCTAAAATAAATCATAATAGAAAAGTCGTTTTGGTTACAAATATCAATTTGAATCCAAGAGAAAACAATATATTCGGAAGTTTCGAAACAAAATTGATCTGAATATTCTATCAATTTTGACATCAAACACTTGCCCGAAAATTGATATTTCGTCAATGATGAACTCGTATTTCAAATAAACTTCACTAATCTCATTAAACAATTTCAAATTGTAGATATCATTTTGAACTTTGTGGTAATGTTTATGTTGCCGATTGACAGTATATCTTTTTATTTAGAATCATCATCAATAACACAATCTACTGATAATAATTGTTCTTTGTTTTCGACAATTAGCTCGATCTGAAAAAGCTGAAGATATTTTCTTGTTCGAGTTTTTCGTCAATGATTTTTCAAGTGATTTTTAGTATAACAAACAAATAGTAGTTAAATATACAGTTGGCTGCGTCAAACAGTACGTTTTCATTGATCCATTTCAATGATCTGATATTTGGAAAATAATAAAAAGCACGATGTAGTAAAACAACTGAACGAATCTCCATGTAATTAGTTCATAGGTCATTAATTTTAATAGAACAAGAATTCGATTGATGTTAGATTCATTTTGAGTTTATCGAAATAAAAGAAAATAGAAAGTGAAACAATTTTTTGAATCATTCGAACAGCATTGTTCGATGAAAACATGTTCGCTAATGTATCTTATGCTCTTAAATGTTCTCCTCACTATCCGTATGTTCTTTGCTTCATCATTGTGAATATCGAACGAAATGATAATACAAGCATCTGATGTTATATTATGACGCTTGTCGCAATGGAATTCTTACATAAACTTGTCGAACATATTCAATTCAGTTTTACCAAGATCATTTAGTTTCTTTAATTGAAATTAATGTGTGCTGCTTCCAAATACTTTGAGTTTTATATTTTCAGATGCTTAAAATGGTATCAAGTTACATGATCATATCTTTTTGATATTCACTTTTATTCAGTAGTAGTAGTAGATACCAAATGTTAGGATTCCACTAACGGACAGTCTCACGACCTTTTTCCTCTATTTGGGTATATCAACTTTAAAATAGGTACAATTGGATCTGTTTGCATAAAATGATATTGAAGAATTAATTCTACTCGAAATCATTTTGATAATTTCCGTGATTATGAGATTGTTGCAAAGACTACATTATTATGAAACCGATGTTTTATGTAGTGGACTGAGATGTGATCTAGAACGGTCAACATGAAATGGATCCATGATCATCTGAAATGGCAAGTTTTGTTTCAAGTTCTCTTCTTGAGCAAGAATAACTATTATTAGGATACATTTAAATTTTCGCAAATATGTCGATTCAAGAATTTTGATGGTCGTATTTAGAGATATAGAGGAGAACGCTCAGAACTATCCGTTAGAGATAAGAAAAAATTTAACATGCGTTATAACAGAAGAAAAATGAGAATTAAAACATGATCAGTTGACGGTCTTAGATCATTTATGTGTTAAACTTTATTTTACTGAATATCAATTTTAACAGTAGATTTATTATTCTTCTGAGAAAACAAAACACTGCAAAAAAGTTAGAGTTATGAATTCGATTATTGTTTATTTCACATATTATTTTCCTTGTGTAACACCGATCCAATTTAATTCCCATTTTCGTACTGGTAACATTGCCATGGTGTTCTTTATCGTTTCTGCTCCTAACATTGGGGAAAGAAACACTGCGAATCCAGTTGGTGTTTCATCATAGATCGATGTCGTTCCTGTCACTTGCCAATGTTGCTCATGACCAGAAAGACTTGTAAAATAGGTAGGGCTTTGTTTGAATTGACATGAAGTTGTATTGACATATACCACAATTCCATGTTGATAAATGGCATAGGGTTTCCATTGATCAAAACTTGTTTTACCTTGACAAAATGTTGGTAATTTTTCTATTGTTTTCTGTTGTACATCTATCTTCTGCTGTTGATCACTCATGTTTTTCTTAAGATCATGTAATTCTTGTTCTTGATAACTGAGCTTCTGCTTTAAATCATTCATTACCTCCCAAAACTTACTGTGATTTTGATGTAAATCACTTATTAACTGCCAAAACTCATTGTGATTTTGATCTAATATATTATTCCATGAAGGAAAATTATCACCAATATCACGTGTATGAACAATAGTAGAACACTTTACGAAGCATGAAATAATAAGTAGAATTACGAACTGCATGATTTAAAATATAATAACGAATGCTCGTCTTTTGCCTTGTTTTATATATGAAAAGTATCCTTCATTTTATTATTTTTTCAGATGGCATTCTTCTCACCCTTTGAATAATAAGTTCAGTCCTGCTTTTTATTTTTATTTTTTTCTTCGCCGAGAAGGATTCTACAGCTTGTAAAAATTTGTTAAGTCGTCGGGTTGCATTGATTTAGCAAGGACTTTTATAAAGTTATGCATTTCTGACAATTTTTAATTTATTTCTAGGTTTACCATGTAACCGATGTATTTTAATGCCCTAGCCAGATCACTGACATCATACACAAAGTTTCACTATCCATTTTTCATATACAAAGATTTGAGATGTGAATATTTGTGAATCAAGGTTTACTCATTACCTACATTGATACTCCTCTCCGGCTAACATTATCACATCACGAGAGAAAAGAAAAACAAAAACATTCCTATTGGTTTCTAAAATTGATGAAATATTCTACTTGGAACTTGTTGATATTGATCTTAATTTTGGTACAATTTTTTTGTTAACATACATCTCACATGTATCTCAACATAAATTAAAGCTTCATTTGACGATTCATTTACTTGGTCAATCTACAAGAGATAAAGTAATTAGTCATTAAAGTTAATGCAAATAATTGAAAAAAGATCAGCCTTCTCCAACTTTTGCTCAGATAACATTATTAAGATAAAGAAAATAGATATGTCATTGCTTGAAATATGATGGCAGCTTGATTTAATAATGAACTATTTAAAATTATTCCAAGAATAATCTTGAAATCAATAAAACATATTTATACCACTCGATATAACTTGAATAATAGGATTTGAATTTTTTACTTCATTTCTTAATCTAATACATTGAATTTTTTGATTAAAAAAATCAAATAAAAACATCACAACATGTTTAGTGTAGAAATAAAAATTGGAAAACTTCTTTTGAACAAAAATCAAATGAGGTGTTTCTCGTTCATACAGCTGAAATACGTGAAAAATAGAATTAAAATGCTCTTTGAATCAATTTCGATCACGTGCAAACTAATCTATAAGATCGATAAAGTTGGATTCATTGTCTACTTGTCAATTATAAATAATTCATTCATAGCTTTTTTGATTCAAATAAAGGACGAGTGGCGTTAAGGTCACTTTTCGGTCCAAAATATTTTCAAGAAATAACTACATTGATAATATAAGATTGATATGGGCTACAAATCTAGCATAGTCATTTACCTTGAAATCACTATCGAGTTTTCTACCTCGTACCCCCTAGGAGTCAATACACGAAAGCGACCACACATCGTGCTCAATCGATGTCTCAGATTTGAATGAAATTTTGTCAGTATGTAGCCCTGAGTGAGTTATGAAAATGCTAAAAATTTCAGCTTCTGAAATCTGTCCTTTGTTGAGATATTCAATCCATAATAGAAGCACCCTCAGGTAAAAAATGGCTATAATTGATGCAGGTCATATACATTGTGTATTTCACCATTCATCAACAACAGTGTTTTTCGAGCTAAAATTTTGTACGTATATACTACCATAAGTACCCTACATATTGATACACTCAAAACCATTATTGGTCGTATTAGACAATATAGCGAGATTTCATAGGTTATAGATACCCTCTCTACCTTATGATCAGGCTTTCTATCGCTTATGAGTTACTTATGAGCTCGGGCTTTGGAATTAAGTACTAGTGATCTGTAGCTATTGGTAGCAATTTTAAAAACCTTGGCCTTTTGATTTTGGTCCGGACAAAAACCTATTCGAATACGTATGTAAGTCATTCG